TTATCCAGTTTTGAATTGCCAGTGTTGCCAGWGAATATCCGTGAATAGCCAGTGAATATCCAGTGAATAGMCAGTGAATATCCAGTGAGTTGCCAGTGAATAGCCAGTGAATATCCAGTGAATAGCCAGTGAGTTGCCAGTGAATAGCCAGTGAATAGACAGTGAATAGCCAGTGAGTTGCCAGTGAGTTGCCAGTGAGTTTACAATAAAAAATATAAATTAAGAAGTTGCCTTATACAAGATCCGTTGTTAAAATTTGTGTGGTAGACTATTAAAAAATAATCTTTGGACTATCCCTTGCAATAGCGTAAACTAGTTACACCAAATAAAATATTAGAGTAATATTTTCAATTTAATACTAGTTATTTTATTAAAATTGATATTTGTTCAAAAATGCCAATTCATGGAGATTATACGAAGATTTGAAAGTGACGAAATTGTATTCTGGGATTATTCCCTTCAATAGCGTACTCAAGGTACATGAAATAACTTATCACAGTATTATTTTGAATGTTATACAAGTTTTCTTGTTAATTCTAGACAAATTTTAAAAACAATTGCCAAATTGAATCAAAACACATATTAAACTATGGGACTATGCCATCAATTGACGTACGCTAGGTACACCATGTTGTAAGTTAAAATAATTTTCCAAATTTAATCGGTTTTAGTTTGACTATAGATTTATCCAATTAAGACTAACAAGCTTGATGCGAGTCCATTAACAAATATCCAATAAGGGCTCTCATATTGAATAGAATAGTCTAAACCTCAAATCTAATATTTAAAAATAATATTTTCAATTTTATAAAGTTATTTTTCTTCAAGAGAAAGTTTGTATGGGATGGAAGTTCGAACACATATACTTTTTCAAACAGTTAAAACTCATAGATACATAGATCCCGCCAACAATACGACCATCAGATATACCTACCATAATCATTTAACATTATTATCATTCTTTACACTAGTCTAAACATCATATTGGAAAAACAAATAAATATTAATAAACAATAATTAATTTTAATCAAAATTTCACAGTTGTTTGAATCACTTTGACAATGACCCAATAGACAAGTCATTAACAACTATGATACATTTAACATTAGTACAAATACATACAGACAGTGAATCATTTGATTAAACAATAACATTGAAGCTTAGCTTCACACCAACATCATCCACTTCATGACATCCAGATTTACAACAACAACAACAACAGATGAAGGTCGATCTATTAACTCCTAACAACGTCACTCAACACCTCAACATAATACATCTTGTTACTCCTCTTATCAATGCGAATCGATCAAGATATCAATCATCATCATTGAACAACATCACACCTGATATCATGAATGCCTTTCGAATGCGATGACGCACCAACAATGTTCAACACATACGTTTGATACACCAACAGATTCAGTACATCTACAGGAATCGATCTATATATAATACGTGACTGTTGAACCTATTCTTACAAAGTACAGCTTGCAGAAGAGACATCATTTCCCTTTACACGCCAAGAGTCGCACTCCAACTGCCACCAACGTCTCTATAACACCTACAATTGACATACCAACAGACTCAACACATCAAGGTGAATCGATAGATATATTGTACATCACTACTGAAGCTATTCTTTAGCAACACATTCAACAACAGCCCAGGCTACGCTCACATTGTTGCATCAACTACGATCGTCGCACTCCACTGATCACCAACATCGTCCAACAAACACCTATGACACATGATCAAACTCGACCCATCAAGAAGAAGCGATACATACTATATTCATTGTCGTTGGAGTAATCTTCATCAACTTTGGTCATCAACATTCAACTTCACAGGTAACAATCAAAACCTTGGACTGATTGTCGCACCTCTACTTCTAACAATAAATAATACCAATCAAGATTATAGTATAGTAATACTCAACACAACAAGATGAAGCGATCAATATATTATACATCACTGTTGAAGTGATTCATAGGAATTACAGTCTTGGACAGCCATGAAAAGACAACCTTTTACAGCTAACTTGGATCGTCGCACACCAACCAAGGACCAACACCATCCAACAACTCCTATGATACTCCAACAGACTCGACTCATCAAGATGATGCGATATACCACATTCATTGCCGTTCATCGTGATCTATATCAACGTGGATCGTCATCATCAACAGCTATGGTGCAACATCTTGATCGATTGTAGCACACCTTACTGCTGACCAACACTAGTTGCCATTWCAATGATACCAATGAAGACAWGGAATTGCTGWGCGAGATCTACTATGGTAACACCACGCTGGCCAGTCCACAGCTGCGAACCAATCCAGTTGGGCTTCAGGATCGATATGTTCATGACTCATCGGCGAATAGGTGCTGCAGGATCCAACCTAGAAGACGCCAACCAGTGGTTTTGCAATCGTCAGGTCATGTTCATGGTCATGGTCATWGTCATAGTCAAGGTCATGGTCATGGTCATGGTCAGGTCGTGATCGTCGTGTTCAWGATGGTCGCTACCGTGTACAGTCGCCAGGAGCTCCATTTATGACACACTAACAAGAGTGGATACACACTGACCAACGAAGAAGAGGATGGCTCCGTCTTCCACAAAGAGAACGCAGCAGGCGAATAACAAGAAGTGTCGGTTGTCAACCAAGTCCAACACGCCAGCGACAACTTCCACCTGTAGTTCAAAGAGCAGCGTGAGTGAACTGAAGCAGCATCAGCAACCAAAAGATAGGCATCACTACCGACAACAACAACAACAACAACAACAACAACAACAACAACAACAACAACAACAACAACAACAACAACAACTGCTGCTACATAACAAGAAGCCCAAGACAACGACACAACGACAACTGCTGCTGCACAGACCAAGAAGCACAAGACAACAACGACATCTTCGCCACCAACACGCCATTCAACTTGACAACCAAACAACATCGATGATCAGAAGCATCAGCAGTCAGAGAGGATAGCTCGCAATCATCCTCTATAATATATATAGCCTTCCAACTACTTCATACCCTTGGAACACTGATAACATTGCCATTGTTGATGACATCATTCGTCGCTCATACAGTATTCCTCTTGTTCATCTTTGTGATGGTGTCTTGGAATGGTGCCTGCTACTTTGAAGTGTTCAGCGAGAACTACAGCAAACCTTACAAATCAGTCATTGGAGAAAACCTTCAAACATCGTCATCGACCTCGACGTCTTCAACATCGACAACAACTTCACCATCTACTTCATCATCTTCAATGATTACCTGATCCGACTTGCCACATGATGTTGGGTGGCGACACTACTGGTATGAAGAGTTGGGTGTAGTTGATGGTGAAAGTGGACGGTGTTGATGAGGTTGATAGAGAGGAAGACGTAGTGGTCGATGTCGCTGGGGCTGTGGCAGTCGAGGACAATGAGAAGTTCTGCATGGAGGAAGATCGATAAGGAGATTATGAGTGAGGAATGCAAGCATTTGCCCATTGTGCAGTACCTACACTTAAACAAAACGCCATCTAATATCTCATCAGCGCTAAAGGAAGCTGCCAGTAAACCTATACTTGAATAGAATTCGAGGCCACACGATCGAATGATATACATAGTCTCTCGCTTGTTCTAGAGCAAGATCAACCGTCCGTCGGTGTTAAGCACAGGCAAGGTATCAGCCGAAAGGTTGGCAATATGATGGCTCAACGTTGCCATTCGTCACAACTACTAATGTCTCATTCTTATATTCTCTGCACTCGACTTGGGATCCAGACTACTTCTGGACTCATTGAGTCTGGCCATCCAATATGGACAACTCCCTCCCTAGTGAGGTATTTCCTCAATAGAATCCACCATCAGTCCAACAGTCCTATTTGTTAAGTGGATATCATAACATTTGTGAGGATTTTATACACTTCGGACCTATCTTAACCTCCTCATCAGAAGTAACGGAGGCTACAAACTCCTTGTGCTTGTTGATGATTATGATACAATCGACATAAGTGTAGTTGATCGATCGCAGAGTCTGGCGAGTGTATCCTTTTCATTACACCTGTAGACGCTGACTTTGTTGCCCTTTAGGAATGACATGAGCGAGGCGACACTCTCTTCATCTGAGCTGTGATCGTCTTCAGTCTTTCGTTCAACTCTGTGGATGACGGTCCCTCGGCCACAGCATCAGTGATCCTCTGTGCCCAACTGTCTGCAGCAACCTTCCAACCTTTCATCTCTTGTGTGATCTTGATATCGCCATTGCTGTCCATAACGTTGTAGAACGCTACCAATAGACTGCGACTATCCTTGTAGTGGTTGTTCTCCTTCATAGTCTCCTCAATGGTCATGTTCTTCTTGATCACCTCCATGGGTGCCTTCAGCTGCTCACGCTTGGCAACTCGAGCGATCTTATCCACATGCCTCTGGCACTCCTCAAAGCCATTAATGGATTTGCTTAGCCTCGAGGCCATGCACATGATACCAGGCTCCATCAAGAAGACCATTGAGGAGAGTTATCATCGTCCAGATCAGGACGACGAACCAAGCCGAACAGACAGCCAGATCTGGCTCTGGAAGCTATGGCCCCAGAGCACTCGCCCACTTGGTTGCTACCAGTACTCAAATGAAAACAACAATGATCGTGCAATAAAGAATGAATGAATAATTATTGGTATGTATCTGAGGGTTGGACAGGAACAGGAGTCTAGATGGATGAGCATGCGATAACATTGGATGCAGCTCGGTATACCACAAGTGCCAGAGATCTCGACTATTATCGGTTTTGGAAGAGAAAATTGAAAAGGCGCCAAGAACCATTCAATAGGAAGGATGATTATTGTTTCAACAAATATTACAACAAAGTATAACAGATGAGCAACAACAACAACATGTCCTCTGGGATCAAGGACATGATTCATATGATGACCGAAGGTGGAGGAGACACCAATGACGACCAGACGATGCAACAGCTGTTTGACTATGCCGACAAGCTAGAGCAGGACCTGAAACTGGCAAAGAAGACACAAGAGCAGATGAAGGTACAAAACGAACATCAGATTGATATCACACTTTCTTTGGAGAAGGAACTTGCTGTTCTGCGCTCAAAGTACTATGAGCTTGAGCGAACCACAACCCTCCTCAAGAGCCACGCCTCAGAGTCCAAACTGAGCATCGACGAGGCTCAGAAGGAGTTTGATAAGAAGTTAACAAAGAAGAACAAGGAGCTTGATGTATGTATTACATACATATATAGAAAGCAACAACAACAACAACAGCAACTGACTCATCTACTTTAAAGGACCTAATTGCCAACATTAGCTACATAACTAAATCGGAGGAGGAGCTAAAGAAGAGATACGATGAGTTGAAGGAGAAGAACAACAACGATGAGGTAAATTTATATATAAGATGATGAGACATATCTCTCTTATGTGAGGAGAGTTGGTACACCTCAGGCATACTAATCATCTTTAAAATAGAAAAACTATCAGCTCAAGATCAAAGCAATGGAGAAAGAGCGATCTCAATACAGGAGTGATGTTGCCGACCTCAAACATAAGAACACCAAAATGGACACCGACGTTGACCTACGCTCCAAGGACATCCAAATCAGATCGTTGTCTGAGCAAAATACATCTTTGACCAGAGAGGTAATGATAAATAATGATGGACAAGTGACTTCCATTGTTTAACTCACATACCCCACAAACCACAAAGGTAACCGAACTAAAGATCAGGCTAGAGTCTACTGTTAATGCTCTTACATCATCTCAGAGAGAGATTGAGATGACCAAGATTTCCTTTGGTGTGGTGGCGGCACCAGACAATGCTTCAAGGTTACAACAGAGTTTGTCAGAGAGTGAAAGCTTGAAGCAATCATTGCAGAGTAGGTAGATAGATAAAGATACTTCCAAACAGGATATACAGTTGTCCACTGACACACACAACCTAGAGGAAGTATCACACCTCAATCACGTCCTACTGAAGAGCCAATCACGAGTTTCTGATCTAGAGTCACAGATGAAATCGATTGGTAACACTGAGGTGCACAAGATGGAGAACCTCACACTGAAGGATAAGCTCAAGCGCTTTGAGGATGTGGCCGAGAAGTACTCTGTTCTGCAAATGAAGCACCTAGAGTTGGTGGAGGAGTGCAAGACCATGTCCAGCATCTATGGTCAGGTGGATAAGTTTAGCGGTGTGGATCAACTACAACTGAGGATTAGAGAGTTGGAGGGTGAATCACAAGTACACATTGCAAAGATTGGCGAGTTGACATCACTTCTAAAACTCACAGAGAACCGCTGTGTCGACATGCAAGGACAGGTCGATGACCTCAAACACGTGGCTTTGCGCAATGAGAACAAGTCAAAGGAGGCAGAGGAGACAATCAATCGACTGAACAAACAAGTGATTCTCTACAAGAGAGAAAAGGATGGCATCAAACGTATATTGGATTCTTTCGATGTGGAGAATGCTATTGCCCAGCAGGGCACCACCAGCAACGGGGGCACCACCAAGGAGTTCCAGACTGCACAACAGGCCAGAATATCCGAGTTGGAGAGAGCCTCAATAGAGAAGGATAAGATGATCACAACCTATGAGAACAATATTCAAAATGGATCGTCATCATCTCTGGGTGATGAAGGCATTGACTATAAGGCTGAGGTGACAAAGGTATGTGTATTATCTATACAGACACCACCAACCAAAGTAAGACACTAATTATGGATTTGTTCTACCAACCTACCTACCTACCTGCAGATGAACTCAGAGATTGATCGATTGCTACAAGAGAATGCTCTTTTGGAATCTAGACTTGGCAAGGGAGAGTTTGACCAATCAAAGTTCAAGGTACTACACATGACTTCCAATCCAAGTCAACCAACGTCAGCAGAGGCGATAAACAACCGAGAAACCGATTCACCAGGAAAGGAGGAGGTAAGAATCGTTCAAGAGAATCATGGTCTCAGGGTGAAACTTGGAGAGACAGAGAAGATCATGGAGAGACTCAAGACTGTGTTCAAATCAAAGATCAACGAGTTCCGTGAGGTGGTCTATGCCCTATTTGGCTTTAAGATCGACATGGAGACGAACAACTTGTACAAACTGCAATCAATGTACGCCGACAATGAGAATGACTTCTTGGTCTTCCAACGTGTGGTCGAGTCTGGTAAGCGAATAGGCAAGATGGAGCTATTGGACACTGACTATACAGCCTCACTTGACCGAGAGATTCGTGCCTACCTCTTCAAGCTCCACTCGATCCCAGCATTCCTTGGACAGTTGACCATTGAACAGTTCTCAAAACAGACCTTCCATCCATCATAACCACCCACTTTTATTATTTAATTTTGGGAGGGAACTCAAATAAGATAAAATATGCAGTGTTGTCAACGACTCGTCACAATACATACATATATACATATATACACATAAAACAACATTATCATGATAGAAGCATATTTGGATGATTTTGATAATGAAGGTATGAAGGTCGTAACAATCATGGTAATGTATATATACTAATCAATCAAACAATCATCCTTTAGTGGAGATAAAGTGTCAGGCGATGCGACTGCACGCGGATGAGCTTTGTCAACAACTCAGAAACAACTTTGTTCTAAACATAATGCAATTGCCCTCGTCAATTAGATCAATGACCATTGCCGACTTTATCTCACAATACACACAGTTGGCTAACCAACAAGGACACTCAACAACAACAACAACAAACAACAATTCCAATGACATTACCAACAATATTAATGATGGACTCCAAAATGAGGCAAAGATGGACCAGCTAGATCTTATGACCAAGAGGATGTTTGACATTTTGAATGAACCCATTCATCACATGACCAAGAATTGTTGATTGAACTCCTAGCACTATTGTATATATAATGAATTACAAGTATTGTTAACTGTATAATTATGATGATCATTTTAGAGACAATAAGGTGTATTGTTGTTGAAAACACTACATACTCTCCACTATACACACATACACAAGTCAATCTCCATCTCATCCTGATCTTCCTGATCCTGGCTCGGCAATAACGCTGCCGGGAAAAGGTTTAATCGGAACCCATCGTCACCACGTATTGGTCTATACACCCAGTGGTTCGTATTTATATATAATTGATCATAAGTATGACGATCACCACCCCTCTCTTGTGATTGTTATGTGTATGTGTTAAGGGTGGTCGTTTATTTTTGACACCTCGCCAACAATCACTCATGTCGGCATGCTGTCAGTTGTAACACTGACTTGAGATACACACAGACAGACAAGATAGAGAGAGAGAGAGAGAGAGAGAGAAAAAAGAAAGGGAGGATTGGGACTGGGAGGATGTCAGTGGAACAAATCACTCGGTGCGGCATCATGCCAACTAGCCAACGTTGTCACCAGAGTGCGATTAATCCGTCCTCGCTTCATTATCATCATTCCCACATCACCCACCAAGATGATGTAAATCAAACTCGATCATCCGCAATAATCCACAATATTGTCCATACGGTCTATTACGCAGTGGCACGAATCATTACAACCATCGATCAGCCATGTCATGCCCAGACGTAAATGCAGAATCACCCATTGTATATTTTAATGCCATCCCCCAGTCCTAGACATACATTATCCCTCTATCAATCAATAAATCAAACAAACAAACAATCCATCATCAAGTTAATCCATCCATTCACACAAGTATCTAGTAAACCATCATCCATCAATATATATCAATCAACCTCAATACTTAATACTATTAATTAATTAACAATACTACTTTAGGATATATATATTTAAATACTAATAATATTGATTAATAGTAATTAAAGATGATGACGATTAACCCATCTGTATATTCAGTTGGTGCTCAATATGGATATCCATATTGCAATATACCTAATTCACCATACACCAATGGATATCCACATCCAAACCTGGGTTACCAATCCAGTGGACCAGGTGCACCCACCTTCAACAGCCAAATGACACCGCCATCACAGGATGGACGTGTACCAGATTCTGGTTACAACAACATCAGCTCTCCCTCCCCAAAGAAAAGACCTCTAAGCATGTCAAACATGATGGTTATCTCCACACCAGCAGCCACCCCCTCTACACCCTCAATTCTCTCTTATGGATCACCATTCTTTGGTCATCTGGCCAACATGGAGGTAGTGGTTCCACAACAACAAACATCACCGACCATCTACCAAGACACTACATTTTCTCCTTCGCTCACTGGTGGCATTGAATCACCTCCATCCCTTGAGATGATGGAAGACGATGAGGACCACCTCCGTGATTTCATTTCCCCAGTTCTATATGGCATGATGGATGGACATTCTCGCGATCAGTTGTTTAACACTCTCTCCGAGTACTTGAATGAGGAGATATCATTCAGGAACCTTCTATTGGACCTTCGAATCATTCCAGTATTTGACAACAACTACAAATCCATCTTTCAGTATCTGATTGACCTTTTCCTCTCCATCGAACCAACCCAAAAGATGGCAAACTTCCTAAAGGACAATGGAGTTGAGGATGGTGAGATCAATATTGATCTGAAAGCATTGGAGATCAATGATACCGATGAGAATACTGGTCATAAAAAGGTAAATAATAATTATCCTTCAAGTTGTAGTTACCGATTACTAACATAATCTTATCTTATTGTTGTTGTTTTTTTTGTAGAAAAGGGAAAGGATAAGAAAGAGTGTTAGTAGAGGATTAAGGAATCCACCAAACAAATGGACCAAGGAAGAGTCGCAGAGACTTATCCAATTGGTTCACGAGCATGGAGATAAACAATGGAAAAAGATTGCTCATCAGATTGGTGGTGGCAAGACTGGTGCTCAATGTGCTCAACACTGGAAGCGTGTCTTATGTCCTGCCATTAGAAAAGGATCATGGGACGAAGGAGAGGAGCTTAAACTCTTCAGTCTGGTGGAGAAACATGGTCAATGCTGGAAGAACGTTGCATCTGAAATCAAGACTCGTACTGACATCCAGTGTCGCTACCAATACTTCAAGTCCTGTATGTCGAGAGAGGTGAAGTGGTCCCAACGTGAGGATGAGATTCTTCAAAAGAAGGTGTCCGACAATAAGGTGGACGGACGAGATATCAACTGGATGGAGGTGTCCAAGGCTATGGCTCGTGGACGCCAGACAAAGATCCCTCGAACCGCCCTAGAGTGTAAGGTTAGATGGGAGGAGATCAATCTTGGTGGCCCTCCAATTCAAGTGATTCCACACGACGAGTTGCACCAACAGTTGGCTCAATCTCCATCGCTCAACTCTTTGCTTAGAGAGTCCAACCAAGACATGTCATTGTAGGGTATAGACAACTTTAATAAACTGTATTATTTTGTTGCATTGTCTAACATTTATAATGTTATACTCTCTGGTTATTTATTATTATTATTATATTATTACTTTGGTGATGGTATTATGATACAAATCGTTTATGTTTTATCTACTCCACCTTGTTGACTTGTTGTCTCTTCTGTCTATAGTCATGCAATAACTGTGATGGGGTAGATGTTGGAAGATTGGTGTAGTCCACACTTGGGTCGTCATTGTCATTGGAGACCGTGATGTCGTCTGTTCGGAAAATCTGTTCCGGAGAGGTTATGTTCATACTCTTCAACTTGTCAGTGATGACTGGGGGCAGGTGGCCGCTGCTACGCAACTCGACCGGTTGTGGCGTGGGCATGAAGTGTGTGTGAGTTCCATTGGTGGAGACTGAGAGAGTCGTTGTTTTGGTTGGTGTCTTCACCACTGGTGAGGTCTGTTCAACTGGCACGGGTGGTCTAAGAAGACCTGCAGCTGCCTCAGCGTTTGCCGCAAGCATTCTTCTGACCTCTGGTGATTGCAAATCGAAGCTGTCATTGAGTGAAAGGTCAAATGGGATATGACCGTAGAGTTGCTTCTTCTCCATGGCACGTAGTCTGAGTGCTGACAAATCAGCAGACATGTTGTCCAAGTAATTGAGAAGTACCTCGATCTTTTGGAGTAGCAATAACTTGATCTCTCTGAGTTTCCTTGGGGACACAGTGGCCCTCTCGCGTGGCTCATCATCATCTTCTTCTTCTTCGTCTGATGTATAATCGGATGAGTCGGTATAATCATCATCGTCATCATCGTCATCGTCCTCCAACTCATTTTGGTTGAATGATGAAGTCTAACAAAAGATATTAGTGTTGTTGACAAAGGTAGTTTGATTAAGCACAACAAGATAATGGATACTTACAATTTGTTCTCTTAGTTGCTGTTGCTGCTGATGATGTTGTTCCGCACACTCTTTGGTGGCGTGCAAGGGACACTTGGAGGCAGCATCTGACAATGCAACCAATGACTCTGTTCTCATCTTGAGATCAATTTCTCTTTGTCTGTACTTCTGAGTGCTGCCAACAATCTGGATGGACTCTAGGATCTCAATCGAGTTGACTAGATCCTTTGACTCGACAGAGACAAAATGTTGAAGACGAGCTAGCTTTCGAAGCATGTGATCATAGCCCTTGACTGGCTCATCAACATTGACGGCATCCTTTTCCTTCTGAATGGACTGGGCGCCTGTGATTGAGTTGACGAGACGATAGTTGATCTCCTTGATGATGCTGCACTGGTTGTTGAGTATCTTTGTTTCCTCCTGGTTCAACTCTTCAAAGCTCTCCTCAATGCTTCGCACCACCTTTTTCTTTTCATCAACTGTAGTTGTTGTTGTTGTTGTTGTATTACTACTCATGTTTGTGTAATGTTATATATATCGCTGAAATAATAATACTATCTATTTATAAAGTATACATATAAATAAACTTCTTCGGGAAAGTTATTAATAATACCTGGTGGTAGGAGCCAAGGCGGATGAGAGAGAGATTACAAGGATTATTTTCCTTTGGTGGTGAGATTCCAGAACACAAAACGGAACTTCTTTTAAATTATTTCAGTAGGAAAACAAGGGGGTGATATCGATCAAATATGTTTTTAAATTTTAATATTTTTTTGGTGATCACTCCTACCCTCTCAGAGGGTTAGTGACACAACAAAAGAAATCAAACACACAACTGTTTTAATAAGAAGAAGAAGAAGAAGAACAACAACAACATCAATAATAATTAGTAATAATAATAATTATGTCGGCAGCTTCAGTTCATACAGGTTCGGCAACTGCTGCTGCTTCTGCTGCTGCCACTACAGTGAACACAACACCACAACAACAACAACCAATTATTCAACAACTTGTATCAACACCTCAGGAATCACTCAAGCATTGTGAATGTAGAAATGCTAAGGAACTTATTCAACTCATTAGGTCAGATGCCATTGAGTTCATCGAGGCATCTTGGCCTGATGACATGGGCCTCTGGTACAGCACCTCAATCCGCTCACATGAGGTGTCCTTGCAGAACCTGGTCGAGGGTATCAGATTCTACGATCAAGTCCTGATGGTTGACTCCTCGTCTGCACGCTTCGACCTAACAAAGAAGAACAAGACCATTCTCGTACGATGCTCAAGCGTGCAAAGAATGTCACTGACCACCGACAACAACTCATCTGTCTCTGCCAGCTCAAGGTCTTCCAGGTCGAAGCAACCAAACAACTGTAACAACAACAACAACGCAACACAACAACAAAGACATCACAACCACCCATCCTCAGCATCCTCCCCTCCATCGATGTTCTCCTCGGACGATGACGGTGGTGCAGACTTTGATGAGTCGTCCAATGATGAATCGGTGATTGGTGACTGCGAGGTCTATCACAGCCCCTCAATGCCAACCAACAAGCTCTCCTACCTAATTGATGAATCGGAGCGAGAGCGCACGAGCAAGAGACACCCCTCCAGGAAGTCACCTCGCGCCCCCCATGCCTCACTGAACGACTCCTCCGATTCTATCCTGACCGACTCGTCTCCTCCCGATTCACCTTCCACCAATCCACCATCCTCTCCTCCACTCTTGGGCAAGAGGAAAGATGCAGATTGGTTGGAATGCCCAAAGAACCGGGTGGAGCTGGTGCCCGATCTCTCCAATCCAACACTTATCGCTCTGGAAAGAGTTCCTGATGGCATGGCATCCCCTGGAAGGGTACCAAACTCTGAACTCTCATCCATCGATAATACTGAGAGGTTGATAATGTAAGTTACACTCGCAATTTAGTTATCACATATAACAATAATACTAACACAATATCCTACTCCTTTACTTCTTCTTCTTCTTCTTATGCTCAAACAGAGAAGGACAAATCCAACTGCCACCCCTTCTTCGACCTCGCCAGTATCATGCTTGTAAGATTTCCAAGGAGGAGCGATCCTCCAAGAGAAGAAAGAGTCATACAACATTGTTTTGTAGACATTGTGGCACCAACGACACTCCAGAGTGGCGCAGAGGACCAGACGGACGCAAATCACTTTGCAATGCTTGTGGTCTTCACTATTCGAAAACCATCAAGAGAGAGCACCAGAACCAGATCGACCAGACCAGGACATTTGACATCACCAACCTCTTGAACCCTGCTGCTGAGTGCTAGCTAGGCTGTGTTGCAACATCAGCCGAATCACTCACCAACACCAATCAATGGGCCTGTTTGCACAGCCCTTGACTTTTTTATATCATTCTTTCATTCATTCATTCATTCTCATTCTGATAGTAATAAATAACACCTCATCATAATAATCGGTTGTGTGTTTGAAATTCTTCAAAAACAAAACAACACAAACAAAAACCCTCACACAACTTGGAACCATTAATTAATTTACAGAGATATATATAAAGAGATAAAGTATAAAACAGATGAGCCAGTCAACTTCAAACACAGAACAACAACAACCAAACAATAATGTTACTGATAAGAATTGGATGTCTACATCGACCTCAGATGTTATTATGAGTCAATTCTTTACTGATGGAAGCGGTAACCATCACAACAACAACAGCAATAGCAACAACTCATCAGGTTTGGGCCTATCTGGAAACACCATACCATCTACTCTGATGAAGCAAGATACAGTGCTGTCAAACTTTCTCAACACTGACTCTGATTGGTTGGGTGCTCATCATAACACTGGTGCCGGTGGCAACAACAACAGTCAATACTTCCTTAGGTCATCGTTCTCCAATGGTGTATCTTCACAGTTTGGTTCTATACTTCAAACCATGCCATCTGATCTGTTGAACATCAACCGACAGAGCATGCTAGAGTCCAACCCTTTCCCAAACGTCAGCATTGGAAATCTAGCGACCAATATCACACCTGAACATATGTCTATGTTTCAATCGCACGAACAACATCACCACCAACAACAGCAACAACAACATCCACTACACAATCAGTCACCAATGAACACATCGGGTGATGACGAAGAATTAGTCTCTACTCCACCAACACCTCCCATCGACTCTACACCTCCACTGTCATATCAGACAACATTCCGCTCAGAATCATCATTGAATGACCCGTTCTCCAATGTACTCAAGAACGATATGGTGCACCCTTCTCCAAACGGGGAGCCCAACGAATATGAGCGCCCAACCAAGCTTGCACGAACAACAACACTACAGTTGGACCATCTACCGGCCACCACCTCAACCACATCGACCGATCCCTATCAGGATGAGCTCAACAAGTTGGCCAAACTGGACGTACACATCAGTTTCCTGCGCTCTCAAACCGAACGACTGGAGGAGGACATGGAGAAGATGAAGCAACACTCCTCCCAGAACCTGTCGAGATCGTCATTCTTGAACAAGTATGCTGGTACCAACACAGAGAAGATCTCACAAGAGTTCTACAATAGTCTTGTCAATCGATACCATGAGCGAAACAATCGATTCCTCAAGGCAAAGGAGAAGCAGATCGCTGTCATCTCGAGTCACGAGCCCGTTCTTGCCGATGAACTTCACACCATCTACACAACAATGAAGAAGGAGATCGACGAGGAGAAGGCTGAGCTGCGCAATCTACTCACCAAGACCATCCTGTTGCCTGCAGATCTTCACCTGATAAGGGGCACAATCGAAGGACTAAAGTCACACTACCGCATCGTGGACGTACTCTACAACGAACTTCAGTACGTCCTGAACAAGAAGAAGCCCGAGAGTTGCTGCGCCATCATCTTGGTACAGCAACCAGCATCTCAGGTCATCTTTAGAGGTGGCAAGGGCATATCAGAGCCATTCAAGGTGGAGCTGGTCACAGGTGTAGTCATGCCCGAGAGTGTATCAGTGGTCGTTGCCAAGATCGACAAGAACGAAACGTATGTCAAGACACACTACATCCACAAGAAGGTCAAATTCACTAATATGCGTTGTTTCACACGTACAACAAACAGAACAAAGAAGGAGAAAGCTGCTGCAAAGGAGACATTGGAGAATAATGAATCGTCATTGGACAACTCAAACAGGGCCACATTCTCAAATCTCAAGTAAGTTGAGTTGAAGCTCTATCATTCTCATCATATAGACTGACATCAATCAAACAAACAAACAACAGGGTCAACATCTCAACTCGAATGAGTCCTTCATATCTCAAGTTTGTTGCAACAGTGAAGGACAGAGGTAGCAAGACTGGCAAGATCATTGAGAGTGTACAAACGAATCCATTGGTGGTCATCACCAACGAGAGTCAGTGGTCAGAGGCCTCTGGCAAACTATTGGCTGGAGAGGTATTTGAAGACCGTGAGGAGGTACCATGGGCCCTTTTTGCCAACATCCTTCACAGCCATGTGTTTACAACAACTGGACAAGTACCGGATGAACCAAAGAGGAAGATTCATACTTGGGAGTGGGACTATATTCAACAGAATCACTTTGGTAAGATTATCTTTGGAAATGTAATGTTCACTTTGATTGTTTTTGTTGACACATTTTGAAAAGCATCGAAACCAACATTGACCAGGTCAGAGTGCAAGGAGTTTTGGACCAAGTTTGGTCCGATATTGCAAACAATCCACTTCAAGAGACACATTTCAAACTTATGGTTTGATGGGTAAGTGGATGTCTATATTTCCATGGACCGACCCTAGTCTTACTAACACCCATTTCCTCCGAACAATCATATCATAGTCTCATATGTGGATTCATATCAAAAAATGAATGCAACCAATATTTATACAATGCAGAGGAAGGATCATTTTTGATTCGATTCAGTGACAGCATGCCAGGTTCTTTCGCAGTGGCATACGTTACGAACGACGAGAATGAAAGGGTGAAGCACTATTTGGTCAGACCTGAGGAGATTGGACCCAACAAGACTCTTCCCGACTTCCTCAGAGAGAGATTCCAGTTCAAGACACTCTACAGACTCGAGCCAGCACTCAAGAAACTCACACCTGTTCCCAAGGACGAAGCCTTCAAATCATTCTATTCCCAAGAGGATTTCCAAACCTGGTCACAATCCAGGTTATGTTTCTGGACTCTAATTTGGTGAACCATAGTATCCAACAACTACAACAACAACATGACAATACAAATCACAAATCACCACTACCTTCAATCACTCATTCATTCACTCATTAATTCTCACCACCGATGATCATCATCAAGTAAGATGACAGTTAGGGGTTGCTCAATTACAACGACGATAGTTTTCAACAACCACACACCTTCCCCCCCACCACACACTAGGGAAAACTATCCAACGTGGCGGCTAGGGTGAGTGTTTATTCATTAACTCCAAGTCATAGTACTACTGCATTCATATTTATATATATATATATCTACTCAATATATATTTATAGGATTTCAGAATCATTAGAGATGGAGAAACTAATTGCACGACTTGGAGAGAGCAAGGGTTTCCTTGTTGCCTTTGGTTATGGTGTCACTTCAGTGTCCATCACATTCTTCAACAAAGCAGTACTGAACGTTTATGGCTTCGACTATTCCAATGCACTGACACTTGGTCAAATGGTGTTCTCACTCTTCTTCCTTACTGTTATGAAACAATTAAAGCTTATCACCTATCCAGACATTAGCAAAGACCTTATCAAGAAGGTAGGTAGTACAACATTTCATCTCGAGGTCAAACAACCATAACAACAACGATGATGACTCTATACTTACATCTGATGTCACTCGCAAATCTAGTTGGCTTCACTCTCTGTATTGTTTATCTTGATGGTCGTCTCTGGACTGGCCGCACTGGCAAAGACCAATGTGCCATTGTTTAGTGCTCTGCGACGTCTCTCAACACTCATTGTGATTCTTGGAGAGAGAATCCTACTTGAAAAAGTGACGCCAGCCAATGAGATTCAGTCAGTTGTACTAATGGTACTGGGTGCCCTCATTGCAGGATGGGGAGATGTCACCTTTGACTTTGTTGGATCATTGTATATATTGTTCAACTGTTTTGTAACTGCTGGATATCTAATATACATTGGTATGTGTTAATACATTCAGTCAGTCAGTTGGCACTGTACTAACATGTGTCAATCTGTAAATAACAACAACTTCTAGCCAAGAAATCCAAAGAAACAGGATTGAATACATTCGGTCTAATGTTCTATTGTAATATCATTTCAATACCAGCAACGATTGTCCTAACAGTGCTGACAGAGGGAGAGGGCATTATGTCCTATGGAGGATATGGCAACCTTGGTTTCCAGGTATGTGTTTGGCAAACAACGAATCGGATGTCTGGTGAACTAACAACAACTACAACTTATCACCCAACTACAATAATAGGTATGCTTCCTAATGTCCTCAGTACAAGCATTCCTATTGAACTACTTTATCTTTTTGTGCTCCACCTACAACTCACCTCTCACCACCAGTATCACTGGTCAGATCAAGTCGATCCTGCAGACCATTCTGGGACTGTTTATGTTTGGAGATGTTGTTTTGTCTGCCATACTGATCTATGGTTTGGTCATCAGTACTCTTGCCAGTTTCTGGTACACCTTTATCAAGTATAGTCAACAACTGGCGAGGGCCAGCCAAGCCAACTTAAATAAAGTTTAATCATTGAGTCAATCTGATGATGCGCCGAGGCTAATCAATTCTTTCAATAGTCCAGCGCAGTGACCACTTACGATCTGGGACGAAAACGTTACCATCGTAAAGACGGATATTTTTGGTGAAGCGTGGTGTATGTTCGATTTTAATGATTTATTTTTTTTGTTTTTCGGATTTCACAACCAGGGTTGGTGTTCGAAGCATTAGGTGGTACTTACACATGATCACTGACAGTCTTTAAGCACTACATATTACTATTACAAGTACTATATCATCAACAACAACATTGATTTATAAACAACAATGCCAGAGCCAGCAGCACAACCACAATCCCCACCTTTGACTTTCAACCTCTTCTTGAAGTACGGTATGGCCGGTGCCCTCGGTTGCTCGATCACTCACAGCGCCGTCGTCCCACTCGATGTCGTCAAGACTCGTCTCCAGACCAACCCAGCCAAGTACACTGGAATGGTCAGTGGTTTCAGCACCATCATCAAGGAGGAGGGAGCCATGATGTTGCTCCAGGGTCTCGCCCCAACTGCCATCGGTTACGCTCTGCAAGGATTCTTCAAGTTTGGTTTCTATGAGGTCTTCAAGAAGAAGTACGGAGAGTTTGTCGGTCCAGAGGCTGCCGTCACCTACCGTATCCCAATTTGGTTGGCTGCTTCCGCCACCGCTGAGGTAAGAATCAATTAATCTATCAACCAATCAAGCAACAACAGCAACAAAAAGTTTGTCTAACGCACTACCTGTTATTATTATTTATTCTAGACCATTGCTGATCTCGCTCTCTGCCCAAATGAGGCCACCAGAATTCGTTTGGTCTCTGACCCAAGCTTTGCCAAGTCCCCAGCTGAGGCTTTCACCAAGATCTTGAAGAATGAGGGTCTGGTTGGTCTGTACAAGGGTCTCCCACCCATTTTGTTGAAGCAGGTTCCATACACCATGGCCAAGTTTGCCGTGTTTGAGTACACTGCTGAGAGCGTCTACAAGGTGTTGGCCTCCCGTGGCACTCCAAGAGAGTCCATGACTGACGGACAGAAGCTCACTGTCTCCCTCGGTTCTGGTATTGTCTCTGGTGTTGTTGCCGCCATCGTGTCTCAACCAGCCGATACTATCCTCTCCAAGATCAACCAGGAGAAGACTGACGGTGGTGTTGCCAAGGCTATTGGAAACATCGTTAGACGTCTCGGTTTCTCTGGTCTCTTCCTGGGAGTCGGAACTCGTTGCTTCATGGTCGGTACTCTTACCGCAGGTATGTATCACTCAAACCTTTCACATTAGACCAATCAATCAATTCAATCTTATGACCATACTAATCAAATTTATCGTCAATCTCACATGTAGGCCAATTCTTCATTTACGATGGATTGAAGCAGGCTCTTGGTATCACTGCTAAGAAGTAATACATTCTTTCCTACAAAGCACACTAAATGAATAAATAATCCATTCTTTCCTAACAAACATGGTTTTCCCAAGTAGATCATAATGACAACCTGGCATCCATCTACCAATTAATTAATCACCGCCAGAGATAATAATTACATTATTATTTGGTCAAGGGATGACACTTATGATGAAAAATTTTTATCAGTTTTGGGCTGTCATTGGCGTCATTGCTTGCCGATTTTCCCAATCAAACCAAATCACTTTGAAGAATCCAAATGGAATGAAACGAACAACGATCATCTTCATTAGCAGGTCTCTACATACACATAAATAACAACAAATAACAACAAATAACAAACAAACAAACATGTATAAACCATCAACAGCAGCAGCTTTGAGAGTATTTGCATTGTACAATAAGGTGTCACACAGTAGTGGTGTATTCCGTTGCTACTCATCATCAACTGCTACTCCTACTGCTGCTGCTGCCGCTGCCACTACTCATCAACCATTGAGAATCGCACTCGTTGGCGCCCCAGTACGTATACTGTCATGATCGATCAATAGATCGATCTTTTATACCAGCATGCAAAAGTTACTGACACAATCGATCATTCGATCAAAACACACACAGGGATCAGGTAAAGGAACACAATCAGCAAAACTAGAGAGAGACTATTCAATCAAACCAATATCAACTGGTCAGATATTGCGTCAATCGTCCAAAGAGGACTCTGATCTTGGCAGAGATATCAAGGCAAAGTTGGATGCTGGACGTAAGTCAAATACTCCCGTGGCTGGCAACAACACAAGACTGACTAACACAAAATATATATATGTAGAGTTGCTGTCCGATGACTTTATGTTCAAGATTGTCAAAGAATATCTTTCAAAGATGAATGTAAGTGGTCATCGATGACCCGTCCATTGATTACCATTTCCTTACACCTTCACACACGCACCACCCAGACCTACTTGCTCGATGGTTTTCCTCGAACCACAAAGCAGGCTGAAGATTTGGACAGATGGCTTGAGGATCAAAAGACTCCATTGGACTTTGTACTATACATTGATGTGCCAGAGGAAGTGCTCATCGATAGAATACAGGATCGTTGGATACATCCAGGCAGTGGACGCGTCTACAACTCCACCTACAACAAACCAAAGGTGGCCATGTTGGATGATGTGACTGGCGAGCAATTGATGCGACGCTCCGACGACAATGAGGAGCGTAAGATCAAGGACAGAATTGAAACGTATCATCGAGAGACCATGCCCATCCTCGAGCACTACAAGCAACGAGGCAAGTTGGTTTCTATCTACTCGCCAAACTCTGACGTTGGGTATGAGGCAATTACCTCTTATCTAAACAATTATTTCAACAAAAATAAGCAGCAACAGATGTTGCTTCAACAACAACATCAACTACCACCAACACACCTTCTGACAATAACAACAGCCACCAACAACATCAACAACACCTTGAATGACAAAGTATGTTTATAAATAAATAACAGAATCACACAAGAGGTGTCTTTGGAGTTTTTCTCTCCTTTGCATGATCAGTTGTCCCCACTTGCACCAATGATTGCTCGTGTGCAAGTGGGGACGATCTCTCCCCGCACAACCCACATCAAATGTGTCGCCTGCGTTTTTTGTTGCACCTCCAAAACACTACAAAAAAATAAGTACCAGCATGGTGAGATAGGGGGTCAGAGTGAATGAAGGGAACGTTCAAAGAATTTCCCCCAGGTGGGAAGTTTCGTTTAGAAAATAATTATTTGATTTTGGTGGTGATAGTGGGAAGGGGTTGTTCCCCACTTGCACTAGAGAGAGACAGAAGGAGGTAGTTGAAGCTTGCTCTCACCACCATCACCATCCATCACCTCGCACTAAATGCACCATTGTTCACTCATCATTCATCACAATCACTACTCATAATTATTTATTTGTAACACTTATTTATTCGTTTGTTTATTTCTTTCTGTAAAATATAAATAGTACTATTGTTACATCAATATTTATCTAATATATATTCTATTAATAACTTACACCACCTCAACTATACAACAACAACAACAACAACAACTACAACAAACATGGGAAGCAGTATTGTCAATGGTTTAAATCCTTTGGCTGATCCATTAGCCCTATTTATTGTTCAACTCTTACTTATTGTAATCCTTTCAAAGCTCCTAGCATGGGTACTATCATATCTATATCGTAAGTAGAAAACATCAATGGAACAACCATAATATGTTGTCGATAATTAACCAATTTGTTCACCTTCTTATATTCTCACTCTTTCCCCTCTATTACTCTTCTTCTCTTCCAATCTAAAAAGAACCACCTGTCATATCCGAAGTCATCACAGGAATTATATTAGGACCATCTGTTCTCGGTAACTCCCTGGCCTTTAAGAACAATGTATTCCCGGCGTCAAGTCTTACAACACTTAACGTCATTGCCAACATTGGTTTGATCCTCTTCATGTTCATGATCGGCCTCGAGGTTGACCCCAAGCTCCTAAAGAACAACGCCAAGATGTCCATCATCATCTCACTGTCGTCCATTATCCTGCCATTTGCCATGGGTGTTGGTTTAGCCGCTGTTCTTTGGAACCAACTAGGTGCCACCAGTCCAGACATATCATTTGGTCTGTTCTGTGTCTTTGTTGGTGTGGCCATCTCCATCACTGCCTTTCCTGTGCTTGCCAGAATCCTCACTGAGCGTGGTCTTATGCAGTCAAAGGTTGGTGCCACCTCACTTGCTGCAGCATCTGTAGACGATGTCATTGCCTGGATCCTGCTGGCCTTTGTAGTTTCGTTTGCCAACAACATCAAGAACACGGGTCCACAAGGTATCGCAGACAAGTTGGGTGCCCTCTGGACATTCATCCTTTTGATTGGCTACTTTGTCTTTATGATGTTCCCTGTCCGTTTGACCTTGATCTACATCTACCGCCGCTTTGTCAAGAATGAGGCCCAGAAGCACAACTTTGTAGTATTCCTGCTCATGTTGATGTTCATGTCAGCCTTCTACACCGAGGTGATTGGAGTGCACGCTATCTTTGGAGCGTTCGTCCTGGGTGTTGTCACACCAAGAATCGACGCACTGCATCTGACCATCGTAGAGAGAATTCAAGACGTCGTCACCATTATCCTGTTGCCATTGTACTTTACCAACTCTGGTCTCAAGACATCTCTTAGCTCCATCAACTCTGGTGTCGCTGGTGGCTGTACCATCCTGATCATCGTCGTTGCCTGCATTGGAAAGATTGGAGGTGCCACCTTTGCCGCAAGATACTGCAACAATACATGGAGAGAGTCAATCACAGTCGGATTCCTGATGAACACCAAGGGTCTGGTCGAGCTCATTGTGCTCAACATTGGTCTTCAGATTGGAGTGTTGAACCAACAGACATTCACCATGTTTGTAGTGATGGCCCTCGTCACCACCTTTATGACCACGCCAGTCGTCAACTTTATCTACACACGATGGGTCGAGAAACAGAGCCGCATGCCTATGATCCCAAGACAGAGTGGAAAGTTCGACATGCTCCTCTACCCATCCAACCCACGTCAAGGTCAAGCCATGACCATGGTTGCAGGCTCAATCGTCTCTGTCACAAAGCCAAAGAAGTACAAGGTTCGCTCCGTGTACGCCACCGAGTCATCCGGTGACCGTCCATCGACCTACTTCTTCCACAACGTCTCCTCTTTGCCACCCTTGCAACGCGAGGTCTACCAATCTGTTCAGTCACAGTCAGCCATCGTGGGAGTGAGTGTCAAGCCAGTGGTCATGAGCTCAACAGACATCTCCACAGACATTTGTCACATTGCCAAGAACGCGTGGCCAGACCTTGTGCTCATGGGCTACACACCAGAGAATGCCGATCTCACCGTGTCAATGAACCTCCGTGGTGACAGCTTCTACGGTAGAACCATCCAGAAGGTGCTACAGAACGTCCGCTCTGCCATTGGTGTCGTTGTGGACAAGGGACTGGATCGCTTCAACAAGAACCACCACATTCTATTCTCCTACACTGGCGCTGCCTACGAGACTGACGCCATCACTGTTCTCTTCAAGATGGCCAGAAGAAACAACATTAACGTGACCATCATCACCAACCACATCGATGAGGTGCGCAACAAGATTAAGGAGTCCAAGAAGCTGGACATGGAGAGATTCCTTCTCATCCAGAGTGAGGATCCACACAGAGAGATCGTAGAGAGATCGACCAAGGAGGAGCTTGAGTACTGGCTTGTCATTGTCGGAGTTGCCCGCGAGGATGCCTTCAGACAAGAGAAGCTGATCAACACGTCCACCTTCTCACTGCTGTTGGTTCATCCAGCCAACAGTCTGTTGGAGCAGGGTGGATTGCCAATGGAGAGGAGCATCTCCACAATCAATGTACCTGACATATCAGACGTTCAAAAGGATCATGCCATTGAGCTTCCAGATTATAACAAGTCCAACTCCTAAAAAGGTGGTTGCAAATGAATAAATAGGATATATATAATATCTTTCTTTTCGATGTACATAAGTTGGTTGTGATAATAGTTAATGTTATAACAACAACACCAACAAATCTTATCTATTATAATATAACCGAAGTTCATTTTGATTTGTTTCGTTTGATAAATTTCATTTTATTTAATTTTTTCATTTGAATACCCTCACACAGCTGATTCTTTGTCAAAGCGAATAGATCAAAGTTGAATCCTTCTTCTACTCCACGCAGCATACTCAAGCCCACATATATTACACATACAGGATGAAGGTCATCAAATCCTCAAAGACTGTCGAGATCCCAGCAGGAGGTATGTATCAAGATAGCCTCAAGCAGATTAGGATTGATTGGTGATTCAGAGACACCTTGGCGATCATCCAGGTATCGATCCACTGATTGTAGCGAACGTATAGACTAATCTCTGTATCACCACCTAATCATTCAGTCACCGTCCAGGTTAAGGGACGTGCCGTCAAGGTCACTGGCCCACGTGGAACTTTGAAGCGTGAGTTCAACCATTTGTCCGTTGACATCAACCTCGTCGGCAAGACCAAGAAGGTCGTCACCATCGATCTCTGGTTCGGAACTCGTGATCAGATTGCTTCCATCACCACCGTTGCTAGCCACATTGAGAACATGATTACTGGTGTCACCAAGGTATGTTTTGGACGACTCTCTTTTTGGGACATTATACAGCACTGCAGGAAGCCCATCATCATTGCACAGCAGAACATCCATCAAGCACAAGAAACATAATCTAATCACACACACACACATATATATATGTCGATCATCATCATATACAGGGATACGAGTACAAGATGCGTTTCGTCTACGCACATTTCCCCATCAATGTCGTCGTCGTCGATGGAGGCAAGGTTGTTGAGATCCGTAACTTCTTCGGAGAGAAGATCGTTCGTCGCATTCCTTTGCTCGAGGGTATCACCTGCACTCGTACAGAGAAGGTCAAGGACGAGATTGTCCTCGTTGGAAACGACCTCGAGAAGCTCTCCCAGTCATGCGCCAACATCCAGCTCCGCTCTGCCGTCAAGTTCAAGGATGTCCGTAAGTTCTTGGATGGTATCTACGTCAGCGAGAGAAACGTCCTTGGCGAGAATTAAAGCCTGAACCAGGAAGTAATAAATGTAGGGATCTAAACACAATATCGATAACTTGTTTGAACTTATTATTGTTGTTGTTGTCACCATCACATCTTTCAATTTATTGTCACCACACCCAGAGCACTCGCTCCTTCCTAAGATGACAACAACGGAGGTGACAACACCAGTCAAACCCCAAACAATCAAGTTTTTCATTACCTTCCAAGACCACCCTACTGATCACGTGGTCCTTGTTGGGATCGTGATCGATCGTGGATGGTTGGCCAATTAATTTAAAATTATATTTGTTTTGGGATGTTTTGATGGGAAGATTGGTAAGTTGATCGTTGAAACTACAACATTAGCATAACCATCAGCAGCATTGTATTATTATTTATCATCCAAGCCATTATTACAACTGTACTATTACTTTTTTCAACATCACATCACTTACAATGACTGTCGGCGATAACAATAATAACGATGATCGTTCAATCAACAATAAGATGACACTCAGAGGTGCCGCCAACACTATAAAGCACAGTGTGGGATTGTACTTTGGAGTGGTCGACCAACCAAATCAAAACAGCAATGGCCAGAACAGTGACAATCCATACTGGATGCAACAGGGCTTCTGGGAGCAAAACCAACCTCAACCATCTTTAAAACTACAACAACAGCAACGAGCTGATTTGGAAATGGCACCACTTCCTCCTTCCTATGCTTCACATGACTTTACCCAGCAACCACTACCACAACAACAACAACCACAATCTTACACGCCAACTGGCGAAACACACACCGCATCAGCTCCAACACTCGATTACTACCCACCAGAGATGGTTGATGCTGATGGAGGTGCTGGTCCGGCTCGTCGTGCCCGTGGAAGAGGCCGTGGCAGAGGTGGATACCCAACACAAGAGTCTGGTAGATTCGATCAGAGCACTGACTCGGCACCAACTGCACCACTCACTCCCATGACACCAATGGGAGCCAGCAGTCTTAGACCGATGCCTCGTCGTGGAGTCTCATCGTTCAACCTCAAGGACGACGATGTATCAGCTCCACCTCCACCTCCACAGTACTATCCATTCTTTGCCATTCTGATCAGTTTGGTGGACGTAGCTGTACTGGTTTGGGAGATCATACTAAACAAGGGCTTTGAGCCATGGAAGGTCAATCCATGGTTTGGACCATCGGCCTCAGTGCTCCTTCAGGCTGGAGCCAAGTACACACCCTACATGCTCGCTGGTGAATGGTGGCGTTTCTTCTCTCCAATGTTCCTTCACGTTGGAGTGTTCCACTTGCTGATGAACCTCATGACACAACTGCGCATTGGCATGCAGCTAGAGCGACAGTATGGCTCACACCGTATCGTTCCCATCTACTTGCTCTGTGGTGTGATGGGTAACCTGTGCTCTGCGATCTTCCTGCCACTATCGGTCCAGGCAGGAGCGTCTGGCGCCATCTTTGGATTCCTTGGCGTGCTGGTCACCGATCTGTTCCGCAACTGGAGTCTCCTCAAGAGTCCGGTGATCAACTGCTGCTCACTGCTCTTCACGGTGGTGTCATCGTTTGCCGTTGGTCTGCTACTGCCTGGTGTGGATAACTTTGCACATTTGGGAGGCTTCATCATGGGCATCCTCGGCAGTCTCATCTTCCTGCCCAGTCTGACGCCCAAGCGAGCAGTTGGCAAACGAGTATGTCTGGTGATCATCGTGCTGCCATTGACCGTGGCAGTCTTTATCACATTGTTTGCAGTGTTTTACCGCCAGATTCCAACAGAGACCTGGTGTCCCGCTTGCAAGTATGTCACATGTCTACAGTTCCTCAGTTGGTGCAAGGCTGGCAACAGTTAAACAACAGACCAGTGTGTAATAACACTCGGTATTCAATCAGAATTGTACAATTACTACTTATAAATAATAATATTATTATTTGTTTCGTCCATCGATTTATATATATATATATACCAACCCATCGAATTAGAGTCGAATGATGTCTATTGTTTCAAAGGATCTGACTTTTTTTTCAGAAGCTTTCAACTAGGGATCACTAGGGGATCACGCCAAGTATTATAGAGCGACATGCAAGAACAGATTTATTCTTCAATATCCGGACTCATTCTTTGACTCACTCTCATAATCAAACTCTGCACCGCTTGGACATGTTCGAACTGATTGGAAGGACTATAAGCCATCTTTCTTTCGATACTTAGAGAGGAATAACACACTTGAATCATTCTTCCCATCTACTCTTAGATAACTTTGCTTTCCTTCAGCAAATACTCACTTTCAAGCACAATGAATCCCCTGTATATGTCTTCAAGTACTCAACCAGGCCCAATCCTTTCCTTTGGGAGCAGAATCCTCGCAAAGCCATTACTGTTGAGGAAAGTAACTTCTGGAATGGCCAATTCCAATTTGTCATGTCGTTGGACCCCAATGGCAAAATTACAGCAGTTAACTATGAATACCAAGACGATGATGACTATGACAACCAATATTCACACCCAGAAGAGTCCTTATAAACCATAATCATAAACCAAACGACAACTGCTCATTCATTCATTTTTATTTCCTTTTTTGTTACCTTATCTATTTGGAACTTCCTTATAATCTCATCGTTTGAAACATTGCGGAAGTGTTTTGAAAAGAGCGCCAAAAATTGAATATTATTAGTACCTCATTTTTGAATACCTCAACATTAAAGTATTAATTATTGTTAAGTATATATCGTATAGACATAAATATATAAGGTAGAGAAAAGACTCTAGTTAGTTATGACAACAACTAGATCTAGGAGGAACGCTTCTGGCAAGAGCAACGTTTCAAAGTCATTAGAGTCACTGAGGAGAGCAAAGGCTGGTGAGGAGAAGAGATCAGATCAGTTGCCAGACGATGACGATGATGATAACAACTCAAACGTTGATCAAAGTGCTGCTGATGATGATCAAGAGGAGGATAATGTCAGTGACATTGAACAAGAGTTGGAGAGAAAGAGAAAGGAGAGAGACTTTGTTGTAGATGATGGTCTGTATCTTTATACCGTATTCTACAATTGAATGACAAATATTGACCTTTTGTCCTCTCTTTGTCATCCTACATTAGATGGTTTTGGATATGGTGAGAGAAGTGATGAGGAGGACCAGGTCGATGATTACAGTGGTGAGGAGGCGGCAGAGACTGGAAGGAGAAGGATAAAAAAGAAGAAGACAGAATCAAAGAAGAAGACTACAAAGACTGCTGATGGTCAAGCAAAGTCAAAGCCTGCTGCCACTGCTGCCTCAAAGAAGTCTGCATCCATTCCACAGTCCACTCGTATGGATCAGTTCCTCAATCGTTCTACAGCGGCACCATCAACAACACAATCATCATCCAGCAGTGTCACTACTTCGTCAACATCACTGGTATGTGTTTATTTAACATCACACATGTCATGTAGTAGTACAGATACTAACATCGTCACCATCGTTATACAGAGTGAGAGGCTACAAAAGGCCAATCTGGTAAAGAACACTACAACAGTTGATCCCTTGGAACTTTATCTGGATGACCTGCAGTCAAACCCCAATGCAGAGATGGACATTGACACTATCGAGGAGAAGAGACATGAATTGGAGCTTCAAAAGATCAAGGACGAGAAGAGGCAACAGCAAGAGTTGGAGGAGGAGCAGCAGCAGCAACAGCAGCTCGATCAACAATCAGCGGCACCAATCAATGTCAAGGATGAGCTAGTTGCCGATGACCAACAACAGGACTCGGCCATGGACTTTAGCTTTGAGGATGTGGATATTCCTGCACCAGCCACCACCACTACCAAGCCAGCTGCTGCCCCCAAGTTAGACGCAAGGAAGGTGTTGACAATTCCTTCAAAGGGATCAATCCAAACATTGGCAAAGCCAGTCAAACTATCATTGGTCTCACCCAAGACAACCAATGATTGGTGGGCTGAGACTGAGGACAGTGTTGTTGATCAACAAACTCTTGAGAACCTATCAGTCTCTGATGGTATGTATTTCAATTGGCTAGTGATCGTCGGCTAGTCAGTTAGTCAGTTCCCTAACCAACCAAATTGTTTATCACACCAGCATCAACAATTCAAACATTAGACTCCAAGGATGGTCTTGAGTTCTACTATTTGACAGCAGAAGAGGATACCAATGGTGGTGCCTATCAGGGCAAGATATACCTGTTTGGCAAGGTGCGCCAGACACTCAAGGGTGGTGAGACTAAGTTTGTATCGTGCTGTGTCATCGTTGAGAGTATGGAGCGCAATGTTTTCTTGATGCCACGAGACTATATGAACGATGCCTCTGGACAACAAACAACACGCGAGCCAACTGAGGAGGCTATCCGTGAGGAGATCAAGTCTCTGATGGAGAGCAACAGGATCAGGGGTTGGAAGTGTAAGAAGGTGCAGCGCTCATTCTGCTTTGACTACAAAGAGGAGAACAAGAGCCAAGCCATTGGAAAGTACAACTTCTGGAAGGTCACCTATCCATCAACCTATCCAGCACTCAGGAATGATATCTCTGGAAGAACGTTCAAGGCTGCCTATGGCATCACTTCCACACCAATCGAGTTAATGTTGCTCAAGCGTAACATCATGGGACCAAGCTGGCTGCTGCTCAAGGGCTTCAAGCCATCGCTGGATATGAACTCAAAGATATCCTGGTGCAGACTGGAGGGTCGTGTCCAGTCCTACAAGATGATTGAGCCAATGGGCGTTGCACCAAAGGCTGCCAAATCAACCACCACTGGTTCTGCCCCCAGGACTGCACTGCCCGCATCACCACCAGTGGTCGTCATGGCAATCAGCACGAGGATCGTCAAGAATGGCGATCATCCCGAGGTCATCATGGTGAGTGCCGTCGTCAACGAGCAGGTCTCTATCGAAGGTGCCACACCAACGGTCTCTCAGACACGTCTCAAGTACGTCACTGCTATCCGTCCACTGACTGGCCAGATCATGCCCCACGAGTTTGCCAAGAGCGCAGAGAAGCGTCCAAACCTCACCATCTGCAAGAACGAACGACAACTACTCACGTTCATTGCCGACACGATCATCAGTGTCGATCCAGACGTGCTCACAGGCCACAACATCATTGGCTTTGATCTCGATGTGCTCATCCATCGCATGAAGGACAACAAGGTCACCAATTGGTCCTACCTTGGAAGATTGAAGCGCAGTGTCTTCCCCAAGCTTTCATCAAACATTGGTGACAACGAGAATGCTTTCCAAGAGCGCAAGGTGACCACTGGTCGTCTCATCTGTGACACGTATCTCCTATGCCAAGAGTTCCTCAACAAGGAGAAGAGCTACAAGCTAGTAGAGATATGCAAGAGTCAGCTACACATGGATAAGGCAGAGATCAATATTCTGGGCATTGAATCATATTTCGTCACCGACAAGAAGTATGTATCAACAGTTGTCGGCGAGTGATGATCAACACTAATACTCAATAATCTATAGATTGAACCTCTTGATTGAGTTGAATGAGAATGATTGCCAGGTCCTGTTCCGATTGATATTCAAACTTCTATTCCTTCCACTCACCAAGCAACTCACCAACCTTGCTGGTAATCTCTGGAACCGATCCCTTGCTGGTAACAGAGCAGAGAGGATTGAGTACTTGCTGCTGCACAACTTCTACATTCAAAAGTACATTCTACCCGACAAGATCTACAAGAAGGACGAGTCATTTGGCAGGAAGAAGGCTGCCTACGCAGGAGGTCTTGTGCTCCCACCCAAGAAGGCCTACTACGACCGTTATGTCGTCCTGCTGGACTTCAACTCACTGTATCCATCCATCATTCAGGAGCACAATGTTTGCTTCACCACCATCGAGAGGAAGCAACGAGAGGATGGCAACCGAACCATAAACGGTGGTTGGGAGGAGGCACAGCCACCTCCAGCCACCGTGCAAAAGGGTATCTTGCCATCGGTCCTACAACATCTCGTATCCAAGCGTCGCGAGGTCAAGAGACAGTTGGCCTATGAGAAGGACGATACACTAAAGCAGCAATTGGACATTAGACAACAGGCCATCAAGCTGGTGGCCAACTCAATGTATGGTTGTCTGGGCTTCAGCAACAGTCGATTCTACGCCCTTCCCCTGGCCGAGTTGGTCACCCGTACTGGTCGTGAGAATCTGCAACGTTCCTCCGAGGTGGCAACCAAACTCAACTACGATGTCATCTATGGTGATACAGACTCCCTTATGATCTACACTGGTGTTGGTACCTACAACGAGGCCGAGGAGATTGGCAGAGAGATCAAGAAGAAGATCAACGATCAGTACAGGGGCAGTGTCATGGAGATCGAGTTGGACGGCATCTTTAAGCGTCTACTGCTCACCAACAAGAAGAGATATGCTGCCCTCATCGAGACCAAGGCCGACGGCAAGCTCAAGAGTGAGATCCAAAACAAGGGACTGGACATTGTCCGTCGTGACTGGTGTGATCTCACCAAGGACATTGGCAACCATATCCTCAAGCTTATCATGTCACCAGACGACTCTGACTCTAAAAACCTGCAAGTGCTGATCAAAGAGTACCTAGAGGACATTGCTCAGAAGCTTCGTGACGGTGCTGTCCCTGTTGAGAAGTTTGTCATCACCAAGACTCTGTCCACAGCACCAGAGGACTACAATGATGCCGACTCTCAACCTCATGTCCAGGTGGCCTTGGCCATGAAGGCTCAGGGACACTTGGTGCAGGCCGGTGATCAAGTGCCATACGTAATCACTGAGGGTCCAAACGAGTGGGTCAAGCGTGCCAAGAGCCCGAAGGAGGTAGAATCGCCTTCGTCCATTGACATTGAGTGGTATCTGTCCACCCAGATCCTACACCCCACCTACCGTTTGACTCAGTTGCTTGGTATTGAGGAGGTCCAGCTCGCATCCTACCTGGGTATGAGCACAACAAAGTACAAGTCAAAGGCCAACAGCACCCATGACGATGCTGCCGACAGCTACAACTCAGAGGTATTCCGAGCAATCGACGCTGACAAGAGGTTCGCCGAGTGCAGGAAGCCAAGATTTGAATGTCCACAATGCAATACAAAGGTGGAGTTCTCTGGCGTCTCTGTCGTGGAGGGTGAGAAGCCAGTTCGTCTCCAAATCATAGGCCTTGTGTGCACCAACGAGTCGTGCCAGCAAGCACTTCCACTACCAATGCTCAAGAATCAACTGGCGCTGATCACCAGACACTACGTTCGACAACATCAAGACTGGACGCTCAAGTGCCAAGAGTGTGGCAAAGGAACCAAGAACTACCGCGAGCTGTCGTACAGATGCGTTGACTGTCCAGGCAAGATGGTTCAGGTGTCGGACAGTAAGAAGTTGTTGCTACAGCTGGACTTTATGCGACGAATATTCTCTGCCAGACTGATCCATGAGCGTTTTGGAGATACTGCCAAGGATAGCTTTGACACCAAACAACTTAGAGCCATGAAGGAGCTCGAGTCTACAATCCAGTCCGTGCTTGCAATGAACAAGGACTACAGCCACAATCTCACCTCTCTATTGACACCCAATCAACAGGACTCTGACTTCCTCTCCATGAGACCATGGTTATCAAAGATACAGTAGTAGTCAGAAATCTAAAAGTCAATAAAAATCGTACATTAGCATCCATCTATTGAATCTGAGACCATTTATTATGCTTGATTTACTTGTCTATCCTTTATAAGAGCACGATGTTTCCTCTCTTTTCTTTCAATCTCTTGGGCAATGTGCAATGGTTGAGGGAAGTAGTTTCTGGATACATAGGTGACAAGGTAGGCAGGATAGAGTGATATGACAACAACCACAATGATTGATAGGTAGAAGGTTGGCTCCATCATCAGGTCAATGAACACTTTGTAGAAGTAGATCACAAAGGGAATGAAGAGGTAGCAGTACAGTGTCTCGAACACCCAGAACACGATAATGGATCCCCATACAGTAATATGAATCCACTTGTTCCATTTGCGGATGGCCAACGTAAGACGGAGACTGACTACAAACACCAAAAAGGTGAAAGCTGCAGCGCTCATCAAATATAGGCCGCCAGGCTTTCCTTTTGAGGCTGAGCTAGTAAGGTCACCAAATAACCAGAATGAGAAATAGGATATGATGGCCGAACAATAGACAGCCATTGCGATCCATGACCAGAATACTTTGTGATTGAACTATTGAGGGTTGGTTAGAGACGTGCTGAGATATTGGTTCTCGGTTTGATTCTAACTACTTACTGATTTGCCAAGCTGACAGTCTCTAAAGAGCTGAGGGTATCGTTTGAGGTAGCTTGAGCCAATATCCTTGTCCAGACCTCCTACTACAATGATGGGTATGGATGTGAAGATGACGTTGAAACCAAGGATGTTGATAGCATCATAGTAGCTCTGACCAGAGAACATATTGTTGAGGTTGAACCAGAACTGGAGCATGGCGAATATGATGTTCTTGAAGAAACAGAAACATATTACAAGACAGAGACGCTTGTAATTGTACCTTCCATGGACTAGAATAAGACGCTCCAGGTATCTGAACTGGGCAATGGAAAAGTCACTGGCAAGTACTGCCTGACGACCTTCATTGCCACATATTCCTACACCGACATGAGCCTTCTGGATCATACTGACATCATTGGCTCCATCGCCAATAGCAAGTGTGATTGAGTTTGTCCTTGACTTGACAATGCGTACCACCTCACTCTTTTGGAATGGTGTCACACGACAGCAGACCACCGATGTGCAAAGCTTGGTCAACTGATAGAACTTCTCCTCCAACTCTTTGGTTACGGCCAAAGAGAGAGTTGAGCCATCGATAACAGCAGCATACTGGTTGCGGATACCTTGAACTTGATCTTTCTCCTTGATCCTGGCAATGTAAGAATCAATGAGTATCTCCAAGCTCTCGGCAGTGAACTCGTTAAGGAATAGAAGCTCCAAGCCATCCAACAATTTGCAAGAGATTCCAATGTTGATCGCCGTCTCTTGTTTGTCACCGGTAAGCATCCAAATCTTTATGAAGGCACGCTGCAGAGTCTCAATGGTGGCTGGTACTCCTGCTTGAAGCTTGTCCTCTATACCAGTGATTCCAATAACGTCCCAACCACGCTCGATTTGGTTGGAAACATTGGCCATCAATTCGGCCCTATCCTCGATGGCTATCATTGCGTTCTTGTACAAGAGGTTCCATTGCTCGTACTCTTCTGTGGGAATGACTCGCTTGGCCACGCACAAAGTTCTAAGTCCGGCACTGGAGAACTTTCTCAAGACGTCCTCATTCTCCTTGAGCGCAGAGGCATTCTGCTCGACACTTAGACTTGGAAGGATGACACTGTCAGCACCCTTGCAGTACATAATGATCTGATCACTATTCATCTCTTTCACAATCACTGTCATCCTCTTTCTGTCACTGGAGAAGTCTATCACATTCAACAGTTGGTAATATACATTGTCACCGTTGATTGATAGAGTAATGAGTGATGGGTTTCTGGCCTTCAGCTTCACACCATAGGATGTGGCAGCATTGACTAATGCTATCTCATCTGGAGATGATGATGAATATCTCACTATAAACTAATGGTTAATCAACTTAATCAATAATATCAGAGGTGATCCAATTGACAACTTACATGTGCCATCATCATTAGCCTCTGGGATGACTGTATTGCATAGAGTCAAGGCAACAAAGAATTCGACATTCTCTGGGATGCTCATATCAATCTTCACTCTCTCTGGTAAGGTGACAAGTCTATTGCTGGACTGTTTCATCTCGAACTCATTCTTTTGATTGTGGAATGTAACAAAGGTTAGAATGGGTGGACCTATGATCACCTCGATCCATCTAGATTATCTTACCGGTGTATATAGAATAGAGCTCTCACCAATGTCGTCATTGGCATCAATGTTTAAAAAGTAGTTGCCATAGGTATGGCCATTGATACTGCACACCTTAAACTCCATCTCGTTCCTTGTGAGTGTACCGGTCTTGTCGGTAAAGACATACTCCACCTGGCCAATCTCCTCATTCAAGTTTGATGTTCGTGGCATGGCGTAGAGGTCGAGAGGTTCATAGTACATCTTGCGGTCCTTCTTAATGGTCATCCTCTGGAATATACGTACGATCTCAATGGTGACATAGAGTGTGATCGGTACCAGGGTAGCGTAGAGGACAATGAAGGTGAAGAATTTCTGAACGGTCTGCAACAGGTACTTGTCCTCCAGTTGGAGGTAGTCCGATCGATGTCCTATCTTCTTCTCAAAGTACATTCCAACCATGGCAGATAGAATACAGAGAAGAATCTCTGCCACAAGAACACATATCATGATCTATTCATCATGTCTCGAGGTACTCTTCTTTGTGGCGTGCCCATCGTGTTCATCATGTACTTGTCTCATGACCAGTGTACAACACAACACCATAGATCCATTTAGTGTTCATCAGTTGAGTGCCCTAGGGTAGAACATTCGTTAGTATGTTAAGTGATTTAGATTTGTAAAGACAACATACTCTTATCAATAGTTGATCCAGATTCAAAGGTAACATCTCTTGATTGCCAAACTTGACTCTACCCTCATACTTGTAGAGTATGTGAGAGGGTGGCTCACACTCAATGAGGATGTCTACATTCTTAAAGTCCTCTGGTGATCTGAGTAGTTCATTGCTCTCTAATAGGGACTGCTTGACCTTTAAATTGGTCTCACCATCGAGATTTGACGTCTCGATATAGCACAGACCTGGAGAGTCTGATGACGTAGATAAAAGGATCATGTCGGCAGGAAACATCTCCTGATTGTTGACCATGACAATGTCGCCCACCTTTAGATCCTTCCAAAGTCTGTCCTCTACCTTTCCATTGACTATCACCTTTGATGTATTGTGATTGATTCTCTTGTCCGATTGATATCGTCTCTTTAATAACATGCAGCCAGAGAGAGAGTAAGTGTTAGTAATGATCAGTGACTGGATTGAATGTTCAAAATGATGATAACATACAAAGTCCTCATAAGCTTCCTTTACGGCGTTTATAAGGAGCACAACGGCAAGATTGATAGTGTTGGGTCCAGTGGCTACTGGTGACACTGGAGTATAAGTGATGATAAGGATCACTAAAAAGTAAAGGTTGGCTACTCTCCTGAACTATAAAAAATGATAATATGTAAATTTTCCATCAGTAAACCAATCCATCCGTCGATCCATCAATCATTCAATCTTACCTGTTCGAACAAGTTCTTTGGAATGAATGTGAGCAACGAGTACTTTGTTGTGGAGATATAGTTTGATGGATAATGCTGCTTCTTCTTGATGGTATCATTTGCACCACTGATACTCCTGTTGATACTATGTGCCAAACTTGTTGCTCCATTGTTTATTTGAATACGTCTCTCTCCTCTCTGTCTCTTTCTCCTCAACCATTTAGGTAATTGAATCTTGCCTCCTGGATGTCCTGGATCAAGTGCCATTTGATTCTCTCTCCTCAACTAGAGTAACAACAAAGTCTTTTCAAATAAATAAATAATAATAATAACTAAATACCAATTGTTAGTATTATGATATTGATTATGTTGATTGTTTTTTGGAAATGTAGTGAAGAGAATGATGATGTTAAAGCCGGTAGTTGTAGTGGATGTACAAGTATTAATAATAATAATGTAGTTTGAAGTATTATTGATATGAGTGTTCCAATTTCATCAGTCAGCTGCTGATGCTCTCTATCAGTTGTATTCCAAATGTTAAATGTGTATCATCATGATGTATTATATATGGATGGATTGATTATAATTGATTGCCTGATGGAGGGGATTGATGATGGTTGTCGAATACTGTTTGTAAACAAATAATATTATTTAAACGATGCATGCAAACGATTGTTGCCAATAAATCAATCATCATACCCATTTTGGTTGAAGAGACTGACCGATAGATGTGTGTGTTTGTTTGGTTGTGTGTTTGGTGTGTTATCTATTTGATTGATTTGATAGAACAGACACCACTACCACCATGGTGGATCTATATATCTGGGCGATTGACAACATGAACGAATATTGATTGGAATGTGTGTGAATGTTGTTTGTGAGTGTATGTGTATGTTTATATATCAAATTTATGAGGAATACAACTGTTCTAACAATCATGTTCATCCAAAATATACATCATTCAACCAAGACTACCTTACCTGCCTTTAGAATTATTTGTATGAATATTGGTCTCTTGAAAGAATGAACTTGACAGTAAGGTCAAAGATACCAATGGGATATGTCTTTGAAAGGTGTGGCAGTTGCAAATGATACCATCCAAAGATCATTCAAACAAAGCTAAAAATATCTTTGAACCTGGAAACTTTGATGGAAAGGTGCCAATCAGAATCTCCCACCAACAGGTCAAGAAACTTTGAAACGGACCCGTTTTGGGTCCCACCACCTTATGGATTCTTGTTATTATTAATTGAATGATAGACGTTCACAGAGAATAACTGAGGTCCTGCCCTGATGATGCTGTTGTCGTCGTTGACCTCGTTGTAAAGCTGTGTCCATCACCAGAGAGCTGCGTATCAACCGGGAGAACACCCGAAAACCAGAAACTTCCTTTACCAAGTGTGATCGCCCAGTTCCTTCTCCAGCCGAGATGGTAACGTGTCCTGTCAATACTCCTATCGATATTGTCAATAGTTGTTTGTCCAATTGACTGTTGATTGTTGTAGTTGTTGTTGTAATTAATATAAAGACGATAGATCAGTCAAAAGGGTACATACAACTAAATATATGTGGAAGCCAATGAATGCTCCAAGTACAATTATAATGAGCGCTGAAAATACTGTAGATAGTATGATAAGGTATCGTTGGTACTCATTGAACCTATCAGAGAACTGTTTGATTGTTGGCTTGATGGTCAGTGATGAGCTGGCTGAGGTAGCAAAGTATCAAACATTACCAATATCATGTCATCATAGAACAGTATGGATGAGTGAAGTAGCAGATGAACACATCCTATCCAAAGGTAGATTAAGAATAATATAAAGAATCGATAGTTCCTAAAGCCAATGCAATTGGCCATCCATGCTTTAATGATACAATGGGTCCAATGTGAGTAACTTATGTTGTTGGTATACCAATGAATGTGTACATACGACAATGATGATCCATCTTCAAGACACACTTGTTACAGACGTTGCAATGATGACAACGAGGTGGTTTGGGCTGTTGACATTTCTTGCAGTAGGACCAATCACTTGTAATACTATCGCTGTAGACTGTGATCGTCAATGGTTCGCCAGTGGACGAGGAGGATGAGACATCCTCCTCAATGTCATAGTCGTGACCCTTTGTGCCCAATGATGGCGAGCCAGGATCGGTCGATATACACTTGTAGTAGTTATAGTATATACAGTAGGTGACGTACATCGAGTAGACAATGTCACCAAAGAGATCGAAGCGTGTGAAATAGTACATGAACGTCAAGTCACTGCTGGGCAGCAGACCCGGTAGTATATGCATAAAATAAACATAGACGACAACTGTTATCATTGCTGTGCCACCGCCCACAAACAATGGACCTGCTACCCTTGTCAGTATGTTCAATGAGAAATGAGGCAGTTGCATATCTATATATCTATCTTTATCACTTTGTTCATGTTGTATGTGTGATCGAGTGTGAATGATTCATCCGAACGAAAATGAACATGATTAATACCAAGCGTCTCTTTGCACCTCTACCTCTCAAACGATAATAGGAAATGGATGTATTACTTGTGGCTGGCTGACTTGGGTGCCGTTTATTTACAATGGTACAAAGATCTTCGGTTTGTTTGTTTGTTTGGTGCGACATCGTGTGCGCAAAGAGAGAGAGAGAGAGAGGAGATTGGAGTGTTGTTGACTGTGGTTGGCCGGACGAACAACAACAAGATCTTGTTGTTGATGCATAGTACAAAAGAAGAGAGTGAGATGGTGGAGAGGGAGAGAGGGAGACCGAAGATGAATAGTGAGGGTGTTGTGTTTAGAAGGGAATAAAGTCGGTGCCACTGTTGAATGAACCAAACTCATTGTCAAACGATGTGGTGATGGAGGCAGGGAAGTTGTTTTGATGTTGTTCGTTGCTAGAGTTGCTGTTGCTGCCTCCATGATGGTGATGGTTGCTGTGATGGTTGCTGCTGCTGCCGTGTTGTGGTGCCGATGAGTATTGGGATGAGCTGTTTCCATGGTGGTGATTGTGGTGGTTGTTWTTGTTGTTGTGATGGTTGTGGTTGTTGTGATGATGGTTGTGACCGCCGTGACCATGACCATGACCATTGCCACTGCCATTGACGAGACCGCTCGACGCAACAAGCACTGGGCTTGCTGAAGATGAATTGGGACTGGAGGGCATTGGAAACGAGATGGCACTCTCAGTGATAAAATGATCCAACAGCTCATTCAGCGTCTCTGAATCGCGACTGGACATGTTCTTGAAAACTCGGCGCACCTTCTCGGTACGTTGGCGCGGCTCCAACTGATTGTAGGCGTTGAGCATGTGTTTGAAAGCATCGTCAAAGTCCATGCGATGGTTGCCGCTGCCACTTGGGAAGGGCCCTGACGATGTTGACCCTCCAATCAGGCTGCTGCCACTGGAGAATCCGTTGTTGGAGAGAAATGATGAAGAGGACGACGACGATGTTGGTGGCCGGAAGTTGTGATCGAGCAGACGCTCGATAAGACGTTGTTGCTCATTCTGTTGCATCTGGATCTTTGTGACCGAGTCCATCAGTATATCATTCCACGAGCGCTTCTTCTGAGGCTGCTTCTTCTTTTGCTGCTCAGGCTTGGAGATGACCTTGATGGGCAGAGTAACAGCGCACAGGTCCTTGATTGGTTGCTTGGTGGCCGGGTCAAAGCCCTCGACCTTGATCTTAAAGAACATGTCCTCGTGTTGCGATGTCAGCACCTTGATCCTGAGCTCGACATTGACAACGTCGCCCAGCTCACTGGGTGTGAACTTGTACTCCACTGGCTTTGACTTTACAAAGTCGACCTCCTTCTCCTCGTTCGTCTGGAAGGAAGCAGCGGTCGACGAGTCATTGTCGTAGATGAGCTTGGCGTCAAAGGCCACGTTGTTCAGATCGACGTCATGGTGTTTCAGACGGAACTGCACGTTGAACGGACTGTTCTTGATGACTACGCGTATGTTCTTGTGGAAGCCATTGCGAGTGATCTTCTCCTCAAAGGGCGAAGACTGTTGCACGAGCTCAAGTCGCTCCATCATCGTCGTAGAGGGGGAATGACGATGTTGCTGGTGATGTTGTTGGTGTTGATGGAGATGGTTTGCTGATGCAGAGTGACTGGCGGTAGTGGCTTGTGACAGAGAGGGCAGAAGAGACAATGCGTTGAAAGACGAAGGTGGTCCAATGATGTTTGCAGAGGGCGACTGCTGTTGTTGTTGTTGTGTCTCTTCTTCTGGCGGTGACGCTGGAGGTGGAGGACTAAGGTTGAATAAATCGTACAGTTTCTTTTAAATAAACTAGATAAAAATCAATCAGATGGAGAAGTAAGAAAGTGAGTGTGAGTGAGTGATTAGTCGTCACCATCATCAGTGATCATTTTGTGGTGGTGTGTGTTTGGGGCTTGGCTTCATTCAATTACGTAAAAAAAAAAAAAACAAAGACCAAGCCCAAACACACCCACACACACTCGATCAAAAAAGCCCCAAACCCAATAACCGTTTGGTTTGATACCTACTACACACACAACAGGGGGTGGAGTGCGCGAAATTGAAATGGGTTTGTGGCAATTCGGCCGGAAGAGGAAATGGAATAGTTGTAGGAGGTGTTGATTGAGCAACAGGTCGGTGTAGTGAGGTGGGGGAGGAGGAGGAGAGTGTTGGGAGAAGGAAGGGTTGTGGGTTGTAATTAATTCGAATGAATGTCGATGATAACAATGCTGATTACGAATGAACAGCACTTGGAAGTAGTAATGGTAGTATGTTTGGTAGTTGTAATATTATATTGATTGTTTTGTCTTTATATTTGTGAAGTACATAAATCACACTACATTATGATGTATGGGTAATGATAGTGAGATAGTGATTGAATGGTATTGTCTTTGTTGTTAATGTAGAGTGTGGTGGAAACTCACTGTTTGTTGAGTTCCGTCCTTTAAATCCAGACGGCCAACAACCAGCACCCCGCCCATTATCCTATAAATTAAATTCAAAACAAATTGTTGTTGGTGCTGCTCATACCAACTAGTCAGTCACCCCTTGGTAAAATTCTGTGGACTTTGCTTATTTGGAGCATTCCTTGGCAAAAGCTAGACCAACCCACTTGATCAAGTGGCTTTGAACACAGGGATGAATTTCAATTTGGAGACTTATTAGGTAGTTTTTAAACTGGGCTTAGCAATTGAACATACTTTCCGTTGCTCTTTCCGTTTCAAAATGATCATCACTGACCAAATCAGGAAAGTGACTGTTGGAAAAGTGCAACTACCATTCATAATCTTCGATGGTCACATACCAAGTTCGCACTCACACTCTCAGTAACAAATCTTCAAGAGGGAAGTGACCAACTGAACACAGACTGCCGACGTCATTGTCAATGCGGGAATGCGGAATTCGCAAATTCAAAGTGAACCAAGTTCTTTGATTCACAAGTGGAACTTGCTTTCAACTGACCAAGTGCACACTTGTTTACAAGTGAAGTGATTAATCACTGGTTTGTGGACATAATATTATTAGTCTTGATGGAGTAGTAGTTGAAAGTCATTACTTTGGCAACAAGTCACACTCTCCATGTTTTGGTATAACGCTTCGGGTATTATCGCGTGCCATTAATTTGTAAATACAACATAACTTGAATCAATGTAAGTATTGTTGACGATGACCTCCACCTGGCACACTCCCTCCTAACAGCAACAGGAGTATCAATTAATCAATCAATCAATCAATCAGAGCGCAAGATCATTATTCATAATCATGCTCTCCTTTTTTGATCTTTGAAGATGGAATGTTAAGTCATCCATTCATTGGTTCAAGGCTCGAATGTTGTTGTTGTTGTTGTTGAACATTGAAAGTAGATAATTAATAATTTTTGAAGAGTAGTGAACACGTGTTTGTAGTTCTTCGTTGATTGGATGAGCAGACAAATCTTTCGTTGGTTATGGGCGGGTTGACTCCTAATAAGGTAACTTGTCAATTGTTTGATCATCACATTGTGACACGGTTCATCCTCAATTTAGCCCTATAAAAAACTATGTAAATTAACATCTCCTTCCTTTATATAACCTTTGGGTTGTATGTCATTAGGTAGTCGACCAATTTGCAAGTTGGGCAGCCAAATTCTAGACGACCACATGATTCTGGTCAACTAGTTGTTGTCAAAGATCAGATTGCCCAACAATTCAATCAGAATCTCAGTTTCAAACGTGGTGCGTCTGCTCAATGTCCCGCCAATAAAATTGATTATTTAGGATGATGGATGGAGTGTTTGTGTTCAATGTTACTCAGTGTATTTATTCGATCACCTCTGAACATCATCTCCTCCTCACTCTCATTCTCGATCGGTTAATATCAATTATATGATGTAGATCATTGGTAATGTGTTCCATTTATCACTTCACACACTCTCTCTCTCCTATTTCACTCTTTGTTAAGTAACTTTACAGGACTAGAGAGTCAGTCAGCCAGTCAGTAGATCATCTATTCCCTTTATTGCCCATTCATAACAGTTAGCTTGTTCAAACACAAACAAAACAAACAAATACAACCAAACCAAATACACTCCATAGCCACCACCACTACTACCACCTTTAACTCATTCCTGCCATTGTCATCACCACTCGACCAATTCATCAGATCTACCCCAGTGTTTAGGAAAAGGCATTGATGATCATCACCCACCCTCTATCCATCTATCAATCAGTCATTATGCATTGTAAATTATGTGTTTGTATGTTACCACGTTGTTAATGTTGGGGGAGGGAGGGATCACCCACCTTTCTCGACGAGGGTTCAATGATGTAATGATGTAGCTGGCTGGCTGTGAAAGCACAGGCCTCATCTGTTATATTTACGTCTACAAATACCCCAATCAAGTTCGTTACTGAATAGATCCACCCCACTCCATATGGAGAAAGAGAGGGAGATAGAGCTGGGGGCATGTGACTAGTCAAGCCCACCTCCCTCTCTCTCTGCAGTACCAAACACTTAATTATAGGTGTGCCAATTCATCCATCCATCCATCCTTAACATCATCATCATTATAATTATTCAAAATTGAGCACTGATCAATTAATTAATTTATTACGAAGGCGCCCTTAGAGTACTCCACTGCTATTGGTAACTTTGCATCCATCAATCCATCCATCCATCTGTCGATCACACATTATCACCTTTTTTGTACAATTCCCTAATTGTTGTTGTTGTTGTACAAACTATTTATTTATGTAATATATTATTATTCATTCAATCACATGAACAGTTCAGTTTTCCATTGGATCATAGCCGACATCATATAGAGTTGATCGCGAGACAACACCCACCCATATACATTATATTATATATATATTCACAATAATACTGAAGACAGACAGTCAAACAACCAGATCAGATCTATCAGGTACCTACACTTCACACATACAACTGACCATTCATTGGTCACCGTCTACCTATTCATCTAATTACACATACACACATACCCACACACAATCACCATCACTAAATGGAATCTTCAATGATCTGCCAACTCGAATTATTGATCAATAATCGCCATTACCAACATAAACTACCCCACTCCACAATCCATCTATATACAATGGGCGGTGAAGGATGTAGTAAACTAATTATATCTCTATGTCTGAGACATCACCACCAGGGTGTCGTCAGTCATTTCACACACGCTCTCCATATGGAATCAGTGTGATTGTTTGTACACGTGTGAGAGTTGCTACCAGTCGACAGTGTTGAGTGATCTGCCGAGTCTACTACTTCCACTATTCCCCATGCTCTACAACAACCAACAACCAACAACAACGACAACTTCAGATTGGTTGGATGTAGGTGTGGAACGGTTGGCAACATTTTATAACTCGGATCATTCGTGTTGAACAATACATCAGGCGACCACCACATCATCATCATAATCATAACATAACATAACATATCATATATTATCAACAGTGTGCCCCCTAAGCCAATAATTGTCTTGTCCACAACACATGTTCCATTTCACACTGCCCGCCCTATGTCCGTCCATAATGATTATAATGTGGGGGGTTGGAAGGATGGACGAAGGGTGGAGTCGGCAAGAGTTGGAATAGGATTGGTTGTGGTTCGTCCTTCGTTGATCGAATGGCATTGCCATTGTCATTCAACACACAAGCACCTTATCTACCAATCAACCATCATCATCCACCTATCAAGGTCTCTCTTCTCTCCAAAAGAGTTGATTGACAAAAAAAAACTCATCAACATTAGACAATTTCCATTCATCAACAACAGGACCACCAACTGTTCAATCAACAGGCAGCAGCTGCAGCAGCAACAGTAATAATTATTTGTGTGTACACATGTTAAATTTTGATCAAGAGGTATGGCCTCGATTCGTCTTTCTCTCTCACTCTCACTCACATTTCTCCAACTCAATCAAATATTCATTCACTCCAACAACATCAACAACATGATGATCAAAGTTACTAACTCTATCAAATCAATGTACAATAATAACAAATATAGGAGATGAGTAATTTCGACCAGAATCCTTACTATTACATGCAACAACAGCAGGGACAACATCAACAACATGTTGGCAAGAAGGAGGAAAATGATCACGACGATGAGGATTCAATCAGTACCAACAACAATAACAACAACAGCAGCAACAGTAGTCAATTCAACACCAGTGGTGCTGGTGGTGGTATAATATTACCTGATATTTCAGAGTCCAAACATGAAGTCACCTCTCCATTGATATACAATCAATATGGCCAAGAACAACAACAACAACAATTTGGTCAATCATCGTCAACTCCGAATAGTGCACGATATGTTACATCACCCGAACCCGAACCACCATCTGCGCCACCAGCAATCACCAGTCCTGAGATACCAGACATCTTATGTACACCAGGCACTAGGGCACCCTATATCATGGACATGCCAAACATTGTAATATCAACAATGTTGGGCAAGGCACACAAGGACGACCCCACCTCTGTCATATACACCAACACCACATCGGTCTGCAAGAAATGGAGGGAGTTGTCCGTGGCCAGACTGATGGACTATGTCTACCACCTGCCGCAGGATCGACGCATCACCAACTTTTTCAACTCGATGGCCAACAATTCCTATCCCAACCTACACACACTTCACTTCAAAGTGCTCACTCCAACGCTGTACGACGTCAGTAACTTTGTCCGCCTCATTCTCACTCTCAACAAAACAATCACATCGTTCGAGTTGCCACAGAATGGCATTGGAAACAAGGCGGCCACTGTGATTGGAACATGTCTAGCCAACAACACCACACTTACTCGACTCAATCTCTCGTTCAACTCTGTTGGCAATGAGGGTGCCGAGGAGATTTCCAAAGCACTGGCAACCAACACCACTCTTCTCTGTCTGGACCTCTCGCAAAATTGTATAGGACTCAAGGGCTCAAAAGCCCTGGCCACCGCCATCCAGACCACCACCACACTCCAGACGCTAAACCTCTCCAAGAATAGATTCGGCACCAAGGGCATCGACCTCATCACTGAAGCCTTTGGAAAGAATTCTGGCCTGATCAACTTTGACTTCTCCAAGAACGAGCTCACTGACAAGAATGCAAAGATATTTGGCGAGGTCATAAAGCGCCATCCAACGCTCCAGCACCTCAATCTCTGCGACACCTCACTGAAAGCAGAGTCCATGCGGTACATCTGTGAGGGTGTCCAGGTCTGCCCCACCATCCAAGGACTTGACCTCTCACGAAATGAGTTTGGCTTCAAGGGTAGCAAGAATCTTGCCGTTGCCCTCCAACAAAGCTCACTCACCTTCCTCGACCTGTGTGGCAATGACATTGGAGACAAAGGAGCTGTGACCATTGCCGAGGTACTGGCCGAGAATAAGACACTGACCAATCTCAGTCTGGCCTTCAACAATATTGGCTCACAAGGCGCACAGGTACTGGGCAACTCGATAAAGACCAACAATGCACTCACTCAATTGGACATTTCAATCAATGCCGCCATCGGTCCGATTGGTGCCACAGCCATCAGTGAAGGACTGTGCTACAACAAGAAACTGACCTACGTATCGTTCTGCACCAATGGATTCGGACCACAGGGTGCCAAGGCCCTGGCCGAGTCACTGCGCTACAATCAGACCTTGACCAAAATAGAGCTGCGTGGTAATGAGATTGGTGATGATGGCTGCAAGGCCATATGTGACGCATTGCGAGGAAATACGTCAGTAGTGGAGATCAATCTATCAGCCAATGGCATCACTAACGAAGGCTGTCGGTCATTATGCGAAGCTCTCTGGTACAACCGCAATATCGAATCATTGGTGCTGACACACAACTCAATCAATCAAACTGGTGTCCAACTGATGAAGGACACTCTTCAACAAGGATACATTGTCACAGTGGACACATATACATATCCGCCACAGTCTCAGACCACCTTGTCCAATCTTTACGTCCACCGATCGAGTGGCAAGATATGTCGAGTTGTCATTTAAACACACACAGGGACTATATTATCCACTCAATCACTATCAATCCAACATCGAACACACATAATGCGCATATTTTACCATACCGATCAATCAGATGTACAGCAGTCCTCCTCCTCCCTCCAAACTCCCCCCCAAATATATACAAGGGCAATCAATTACTAATGCCATGACACACACACACATAACATATTTATTAATGATATTGATAATAAAGGTAATAAATATCAATCAAATTACCTACCTATATATAAATATAAAAGTATTTACCATACTTGGATTACTATAAATTTATTACACTACATATAATTCAATGAGAGATAGGTATGGTGGATGGTATAATTTCTTGATGGACTGGATGGCCAGACCACACTCTTGGAAAAGCATCTCCCAATCATTCCTGGTACGCTTGAATATTGATATGATGGACATCATCACCAGACTTGATATGCCAAGGTTGTTCCATTGCTGATCCTCCTCGCGACATCCATTCTCATCGACTACAGAGTCGACAACGATCAGAGTAGCATTGAGTCCGTTGGCCTTTTGCTTCTTGAGCACGGTGGATATAGAATGTAGGATCTTTAGACAATCATGACGGTTCCAGACGCCGAGGATCTCAGACAGGATGTACACTTGGCACAGTGGGATGGTGCGCGATTGCAGAGCGTCGCCCACTCTGAATTCGATCTGATTGTTGGCCAACAGATCCTTCTTTTGAATGTCATTGTTGGCCATCTCGACGGCATGCTTGAGTGTCTCCTCCATGTCCAGCACGATGACGTTGGTGCTGGGATGGTCCTTGATGATCTGGAAGCCAAGGTAGCCAAAGCCACCGCCCAGGTCACACACGCTGCTGTACTTTGAAAAGTTGAAGTGGCACGATATCAGACTCTGCAGCTTGATCACCTCCGCCTTTTGTTTCATTGCAGCGTCGAATATCTTCTTGAGGAAGACGTCCTTCTCGTCGATAAAGTTGAAAAAGTTGGATGGATTGGCATGCATCGACGAGTGGCACTGCTCCAGACAGTCCTTGGTAGAGCCCCATGCCTTGGCAATCGATGGATGTTGAAACAGACCGTAGGTGTTGTCCATTCGATCGTTATAAACGTCCATCAGGTTATAGTTTGGTACAATTGAGTTGGCAGCGGCACCACTGCCACCGCCACTGCCACCCTCTGGACTGACTGGAGGGGCATTGATTCGATAATTGTTGTCATCCTGATTGTATAGGATATGACCCTCCTTTGACAACTTGTTGAGAAGGATCTGCAGTGATCGTTCGCTGCTCTTTGTGATTGTGGCCAATTGTTCAAGAGTCTTGGCGCCACTGCGCAGACTCTCAATGACCTTTAGCAAGAACACCACGGTGAGACACTGAAACACGATAAAGTCGTGTGAGATGCGATAGATCTTGGCCTGTGACACGATGTTGTCCCAGTACGAAGTGATTGAGAATAGACATTGAAGTATATAGTTGGCAATGATCGGTGGTAGTGGCTCTTTAGAGTTGACCTTGCGCATCAGAATGCCAACATAGAAGAATATGAATACAGATAGTATTATGATGCTGGGCAATCCAACCAGCAATGATGATGCCAACAGTGATGAGAATATTGATTCCATTATTCCAGTTACTACTAAATGATCAATAAATTATAATGTTGTTGTTGTTGTTGGATTGTTTGATTGATGTATGTACAGGAAATTATTGACTGAAGATTGATTGATTGATTGCGTGAGTGTTTGTTATGGACAACCAAGACAGAGTTGACAGGCCACCAATGTTGATGTTGTTGATGTGTTATTATATTATATATATATATAATATGGCTAGGACTCTGTTATTGATCGATCGTGATAAAGTTGATGGGTGAAGTGAAGAGGGGAGGGAGTTAGTGATTGCGAATTGAGTTGTGATTGATTGATTGATTGACTGTCTGTCTGACTGTCTGACTGAATGACTGACACTTGGGTGTGCCAACCAATCAATCAATCAATTAATATCAATCACTCACCTCACTGATTGACTGATCATCAAGGATGGAAAGAGTAATGCATACAAGGGTGATGGATTGTGGACAGCAGGGGGGTCTGGAAACTCATGGATATAACATTTAAAATGGAAGTAGAGTGAGGAGATAGAGATAGTGAGAGAGTGAGAGTGAGAGACGATGTCAAATAACTGATGCTGTTGCTGCTGCTGCTCTTCCTCCCGACAGACGGTCAGCGCGGCGGTCAGCTGCTGTGTATAGGTGTGTGTGTGCGAGAGTGAGAGCTGTTGCTTCTAAAATGTCATCCGACTGGCTGGCGGGCGAGGACGCACTGCAATGCGTGGTTTGATGTCCAATGGCAAACCGAGTGTGCAGGAGAAGGTAGACGCGCAGAGTAGTGTGTGAGGTTGACGTGATCGATGGACGGCCAAAGGGTTAGAATGCAGTTGTTGCTGCTGCTGTTGCAGGTGTGGTGGGTTGATGCTGTTGCTGTTGCTGCTGCTGCAGGTTGTTGGCGTTGTGGTTGTGTTCTCTTCTTTGATAGGGCAACATCAATGTCTATCCCCTTTCACTCTCGATATTTGTTTGATTGTTAGTCCAGACGTGATCGTGTGTGTATGTATGTCTGGTTGATGCTTGTCTGTCTGTATAAATGTATGTGTATATATATATATATATATATATGTATGTGTTGTATTTATGTACAAATATCAATAACAACGTAGCTTCCTTCTTTCCTTCCTTCCACTGTTCTGTTGCGTGCAAGGCAGGCAGGTGCCTTCTCTCTGCTTCACGAGTGGTAGTGGTGGAGGTCGTAGTAAGAGGGGTGGTAGAGGTGTGGGTGGTGATGTCAATGTTTAGTTGATGGTCGGATGGATTGATGGTTGGTTGGATGAATGGTTGGATGGATGGACAGGTGTTATAAATATACTGTTTGGTGTTGTTGGAAAGTAATAATTGACATGAGCTGGCATGATTGCTTGATTGCTTGCTTGCATGCAGAATGTATTGTTGGTGGAGGATGATGCTGGTGCACGCTAATGCTGTTGGTCGAGTTAGGGAGGATCGTCGTCGTTTGAGATGTAAAGGATACACTCTCCTCCTGATCATGTGTGTTGACTGCTCCAGTACAGGGCACCTTTGGGGGTGTTGATGGTGTGTGTGTTTGTGTGTGTCTTTGACCATCCTTCATTCATTCATTCAATCAATCCATCCGCCATCACACACTCAATCACACATACACACACTCACTATATAATACCACACACTCTCTTTGTCTAATGATTGTGATCGTTATCCCAACCAGAACGTCATGTGATCAAAATGATCATTTTAATTAAAAGTATGGTTAGATGTGGACCCAATAATGAACTCTGGTCGAATGCAAATTGGTCTCTCTACAAGGTCGCACTCCAATTATTCACTGGTGTGATTTGTGTTGGTGTGTTTGAGCTTCACCATACCCAACAGGCAGAGAGACAGACATCGCCTGACCGTCTGGCTGACTGATTGATTGACTATCTGAATTGTGTTGATTGATTATGTTAAAGATTAAGGTGAAGGATTTTATTGAATCAAAGTAGAGTCACGTTGGTTGTTGTTACTTCCAACGTGGCGATAAAGAATGTATGATTGATTGAATGAATGTGCGACAATGGTTATATTATTACAGGTGATGTACATACTACATGCCATGGCAACATGTATGCTTAGTTACTCATCACATAGTCCGAACAGTTGATGAAGCACTCTCCAACTGGATCAATACGCTGCCATCTTGCCACTAGGGTACCGGCGTTGGCATATCGGTTGGGCAGGGTGAGAGTGGTCTTGAACAGCTTGCTGCCACCGCATCCAGGATAGGTTCCATCGATTGGCATGAGGTTTTGGACACGTGATACAAACACAAGGTTATCCCAACCCACCTCTGTGGTCTTGCCGTTGAATGTTGGCACTGTCACGTAGAACTCCCAGTAGCTGGGTGTGTGGGCGGCGGTGGCACAGAACGTGTAGGTGATGTTCACACTGTTGGAGCCTGTCAGGGCCTTGATCACTGTGGGCTTCCATGTGTTGGGAATGGACATTCCAGACTTGTCACCAAACTGTGAGGCATCGTTGATGGCATGGGCTGAGCAGATGGCGTTTGGAACGGCAGCCTTTAGTGCTGGTAGGCCTTGGGAATAGTTGGGGATCAACACAGAGTACTCGTTGATTTGAACGAATTGAGTGTTGGCAGGCGATGACTGGTGGTACTTGTTGTACACATGAAGGTAGGCATTCTTGCACCACTGGTCCTTGATACCCTCTCCATTCTCTGGCCACCAAATACTATTCTGATTGTTATTTACACATACAATCTGACGAGCAGGTGGATAGATACTATATCCATGTCCACTGGAAATATTAACAAAACAACAAGTAAGAATAAAGATTGATATTAATGTTTGGTACATTTAGGTTTGATTGATTGATTTGATTGATTGGTTGATTGATTGATTGTAAGTATGTGAATGATGAAATAGGTTCCTCAAGTTAAGATGTTATTTATACTTTTGTTTCCAAGGACCTACCTACCATCCAATCTATTAATGTAGTTAACAGGGGACATGTACCATGTACTATTTTTTTGTTATTATAACAAATAATGGCTACAGTTATATCTCTAGATATGAAGATCACAACCGTTGAGCCTTGTCAATTCAAATGGCTCAAGCCACTTTAATAAAGGTTAGACCACAGATATATACCATTATAACACATCTTTGCTAGTAGTACAACATGATGGAGTACTCTTGATTGATCGATGGATTGATTATAATGGACCTACCTCTGGTATCCAACAAGCTAGCTATCAAGCCATACGGATTGATTGATTGATGTGGGAGGGTCAGTCAGTCAGTCGAAAGTGATCTGGGTTGTATCCATTCCGCATTGGTAATGGTGATGGTTTTGTGTTGTTGATCAAACCCATCGGATTGAATGTTCCTCTGTGTTGTGTTGGGGGCAGCGTAGCTAGTAAATGCCAACTAGGCCATATTGAAATTGAAGCAATGTAACTTCAAATAAAGGTGATTGAGTACATTGTGTGTGGTACTGGTGCATTCAATCAATTACCATTGGGCAATGTTGACACTTTGTGACACTATCGCCATCTGTCGTCAACAAACCCATGTGCTGTACCTATATATTAATGTAGAGGTTCTATCTAGTGTAGTGACCATTCAATCAATCAAACTTGAACTTCATGAATTTGTATAGAATCTAGATAACTTAGTTCGTTGACATGGTCAATCACCTACCCGGTATTCCACATGGTTGTTTAGTATCTGTATCGTCCTGTAATATAGAAATGATCGCCAGTCGTCTTGTTGAACATGTTGTACAACAAAAATTTCAAACAACTTCACTTTGTTGAACTTTAACATACAACAACAACAACATTATACAAACCATGGTTAGAAAGGTCAAGGGTAACTTTGAACGATCAATCATCGTTGGCTCAATATCACATTGGCTGGGGAAGAAGGCTGATGGTCATACTCATACTCACAAGTGGTCTGCCTACATCAGAGGCATCAACAATGAGGAGTTGCCCTTTATCAAGAAGGTTGTCTTTCATCTACATGCAAGCTTCAAGAATCCAAACAGAGGTATGTTGAAGATGACGATGACGAAGATGATGATGATGACTAATGTACCGATTCATCCATAATAGCTGTAGAGTCACCACCGTTTGAGATGAGCGAGACAGGCTGGGGAGAGTTTGATCTTGGCGTTACACTATACTTTGCAGACCCTGCAGAGAAGCCTTTAGACCTCTTTCATCTTCTACGTCTTCATCCTCCCGATGGAATCAAGACAAAGCAACCTGTCGTCTCAGAGACATTGGATGTCATACTATTCCGCGATCCTACAGAGTCATTCTATCAATTGATAAAGCTACCAGAGAAGCCTCCCGAGCAATCAAATCATGCTCTCAAACTTACTGAGCAGAGTATGTTGTAAACTCTGTCACGGTGACTATATGACTGTATGACTAACTAACTGACTGACAACACTTCCTTAGAACTTACATTACAGGAACAAACAGAGATAAACAAACTAGTGGACAGTAGAACAAAGATAATAGGACAAGTACAAAAGTATAGGGATCAGGCAAAGAGTGAAGATAACGATGCACTACAGCTGTATCAACAGGTGCAACAACTAGAGAGGAAGAAGTTAATATATCAGAAGAAGATGGAGAAGTACAATCAGATGAAACAACAACAGCAACAAATTGTAGATATAGGTGGAAATGGTGTTGTCATGACAAAGGCAACATCAACGACAACGACACCAATGGACATTACTCATTCAAATACAACAATCATCTAAAAGGATGTTATTATCATTATCTCTCATCGTTCGTGCATATGACCTTTCATTTCCATCGATGTCCCCTAAAGGGATGGTCTGACATTGGATGTCATTTCATTCAATTCAGCAAACATTACTAGTTATACTAACAACAACAGAGACAAAGATGACACCTAATCAACAACAAGGTATGCAAGCATGAATGAACAATGCAAGCCTTAGATAGATATCATTGCTTGTTGTTGATATTGTTGCTAACTTCTACTTTTTGAAGAAGAGAACCCTTCTGTCACATTGTTCAGAGACTTCCTACGTGTAAGGACAGACCATCCTACACCAGACTATGAAGCATCGACTACTTTCTTGGTTGAAAGAGCCAAGCAGATTGGACTACACTATGAGGTCTATAGAGTATGATCAATCATCAGAATGCAGTGAGGTCAGTGAGAGATACAGAGAGACTCACACATTTATACAGGATACAGGTTCACCAATTGTTATAATGAAGATCAATGGAGAAGACCAATCACTCCCATCCGTTCTCCTGAATGCACATGTGGACGTCGTGCCCGCTGTTAAGGAGTTGTGGAAGGTTGATCCATTCCAGGCATTCAAGGATGACAATGGCGATATTTATGCAAGAGGCACTCAAGACATGAAATGCGTTGCCATCCAATTCCTCGAGGTGGCGAGCCGCTTCATTCAGAAGGGTATCCGTCCTAGAAGGAACCTTTACCTTACCTTTGTTCCAGGTAAGATTACCTAATTCTTTGTGATCATTCTGAGACATTTACTTACCATTGAATTCAAGACGAGGAGATTGGTGCTGGCAAGGGAATGGAACTATTTGTAAACACTGACAAGTTCAGAGAGATGAACATTGGAATGGCCATTGACGAAGGATTGGCCTCACCAACCGAGGAGTTTACAGTATTCTACGGAGAGCGTGCTATTTGGTGTATGTACTATCAATTGCTCAAGTCCTTCAATGACCTAACAACAACCACAATATCTACCAGGGGTACACATCACTGCCGAGGGCAACACAGGACATGGATCAAGATTCGTAGAGGGAACCGCTGTTGAGAAATTGGTATGTGCGCCTTACCCTTGAAGGATATGAAGCAGATACTCATACCATTCATTACCAACCTTAGATGAGAACAATCAACAAGATGCTTCAATTCCGTCAAGACCAGTTCAATGAGTTGCATAGAGGACACCATGAGTGTGGAAAGAAGCTTGGCGATGTGACAACTCTTAATCTCACCGTCCTAAAGGCTGGCGTCGGCGAAGGACCCTTCCCCAACTACAGCTACAATGTCATCCCAACCAAGGCAGAGGCAGGATTCGACATTAGAATACCACCAACCGTTAACCTTCAAGAGTTTATGCAGCAGATTAGAGACTGGACTGCAGAGGAAGGATTGTCCTTCCAGTTTGCAGACTATGCTGAGAAGAATGAGTTGACCGACATTAAGAATCCAGACCTCAAGTGGTGGACCACATTCCAACAGTCATGTTCTGCAATGTAAGAGATGTATTCGAGTTGTCCAACATGCAACAGCGCAGACTAACACGTTGGCAACCCTTTGCTACTCTCACACAGGAATGTCAAGCTCTGTCCAGAGATATTCCCAGCTGCTACAGACTCAAGGTTCATCAGGAACTTGGGTATTCCTGCATTTGGATTCTCCCCAATCAACAATACTCCAATTCTACTGCACGACAACAATGAGTTCTTGAACGAGGCAACGTTCCTGCGTGGCATAGACATCTATGAACGTCTAATTGGCGATCTCTCAAACATGTCATAAGAATGTAAATGAAACACCGCATCCATTCCATTTTGGTGCATGCATGATCAGTCCATCAAAGGTTTAATCATCCGAGTCAGTGGACAAAATCTCCACCTTTCTTTTGGAGTCGCCAGTGTCACCCTTTGACTTGCGTTTGGAGTTGTAGTAGAAACTGCGACACTGTGAATATGTCTTGCTGCCAATGGTCTCAGAGATTACCTTGAAGTCCATGCCATGCTTGGCAAAGGCCGTGTTGAACAGCTCGCGCTCCTGGTTGGACCAAGGGAAGCGAGTTTCGTTGAATGGCTCGGGCGACTGCGCCTGAAGTGAGTTGGGAGTGAGTGCCGTGGTCGGCGTTGACACCTCTTTTGAGCCAGAAATAGCTGCGAGGTTGATGAAATTGCCATCAGACGTGGAGTCAGTGGTGGTACAGTTGTTTGTTTCTCTATATCGATGTGAGGCTCATTGTTGTTGTTGTTCTTGTTGGTCGATAGTTGTTGCTTTGGCCTTGTCCTTGTCTTGGTTGATCGAGGTGAAATCATTGGTGATGCATTATGTACATGTTGTGTTGTTGACTTTGTTGTTGAGAGGAAGTGATGTGATTCCTTTGATTTGGTTAATAATGCAATGTTATGTTAGTTAATTTCAAATCCATATTAGTTATTGGCGTGGTGTACTTACATTAAACCTCTTGCCAGTCCTCTTCTTTAGCTGAGCGTTCTGGAGCATGGTCTTTAGATTGAGCTTCTTCTTGTTGTTATAATAGAACACTACCATATCCTCTGTGGTCTTGTTCTCAAAGAATGATGATATCTTGCTAAACTTCTTGGGATATTGAAGATACCTATTTGGTGATAGCTTGTTAGCTCTCAGCTCTGAATCAATCATTCCATCTACCACCGTCACATACTTCTTAACAAACTTTTCCTTCTCTTCGTCGGTCCATTGCACCAGAGCTCTCCTCTCCTTATCGACAGAGACAGGATCCTCCAGTAGTCCATTAAAGTTGATGTAGTGAAGATCCCTTTCGCCTTGCGGTAACATTGGCGGTACCTCTGCCATCATGTGTATGTGTCTGCGAATTGGATCCATTGCATCCTGCTCTCTGAGTTGATCCATGATCTCGATGAACTCTGCCTCGCTATGCACCGCATCAGAGATTGGCCTTCGTCCACTCCTCGTTGTGGTGGCAGATCTCAATGCTGGACGCTCTCTAAAGGTCTGGTTTGCAGTGCTCTTGTTGTTGTTGTTGTTGGCATTCTTTGATCCATTCTCACCCATCTTGTTGGCCTTCTTCTTAAAGTTCTCCATGGCCTTCCTGTACTTTGTCACCAGCTTGCCATTGTGCCTGATGAGCGCTCGACGCTGCTTCAACACCACCTGTGCCATATGCTGCTTGATAGCCTCGTGGCTATCTATGTTCATTTGATATGACGGCAGGTCGTTGATACGTGGATATGGTGCATCACCATCGAATGTCTGCAGTACCATCTCATCAGACTCTCTCGCATAGTCCTGATTCTCTCTATATATCTCATCCTCATTCTCCCTCTTCAACTGTCGCTGCTGTGTTGTCGCACTGGCCTGGCCAGTGCCGACGGATATCTTGGCTGGCTGCTTCTTGATCGTGTTCAGAGGTTGAGATGGCTTCTTGGCCTTGGCCAAAGTGGCTGGGGCAGGATGAGACAGTTTAACAATGGCGGTATCGATCTTGTTCAAGTTTGCCTGTAGTGACTTGAGCTCCTTCTCCACCAGAGTGATATCATTGTCAATATCCTCCATGCGAAAGATAATGATCTCTTTGCTTGGAAGGTGAGGAAAGTATTGTGAAGGCTCATCAACAGAGATACCCCTAACAGATGGTGAGTCTTGGATTGGAGGAGTGGTCGACCTGAGTGCAGGTGACACCAATCCATTCTCATGATGATGCTGTTGGGCACCAACACTGCTGTGAGACGACGGTGTTGAAGGTTGTACTGGTAACTTGAACTCTGGTATCGATGTAAATTGTCCTGGTTGGAGTGGACTGGATAATGCCAGGGGTGGGATCGGTGGGAGGAATGAGTGCACAGTTGATGTCTCTGTTGACCTGTTCAATGAATCTGAACCCATGGTTGGTGTGCTACTGGATGATGACTTGGCAAACAACATGGGCGAAGGTCCGGCAGATGAGCTTGGCTCCGATGAGTATTCGTTTCTCAATGGTGATGAGGAAGATGTTGTTGCTAAATCTAATGCTGATCTATTGCTGTTGTTGTTGTTGTCGTTATTATTGTTGTTGTTATGGTTGTTGATTGTGTTTGGTGTTCGATTGACTAATGAGTTATCAGCCTCGTGGCTGACAGTCGTCTCCTTCTCCTTCTCCTTTTGCTGTTCGATATGTACATCGCGATGGTCTCTCTCTCTGTTGTCATGATTATCAGCCACACCTGCGAGGAATGGCTTGCTCTGGTTCAACAGCGACTCATAGGTGGGTGAGTTGATACTGTCTCGTTCCAGATCCTCATTGTTAATGTCTCGATCCTTGTATACAAAGTGATGATGAGGAAGAGGAGGAAATGATGGTGGCGGTGTGTTGTTAGCGTATCCTTTTGGTCCGCCAGAGGGCATCCAATGACCAGCACCACCTCCATAGTAGTGTCTATTGGGAGATCGTGATCTTGAACGTCGGACATGATGCTCAAGAGGCAACCCGACCGGGGATGGCGACCTTGTTGGTGATGAGCCACGCATCGATGGTGACTGAGATGTACGATACCTATACGACCCACCATATGGTGGTGGTGGACCTCTATTGTATCCATTACTCATTGAATCTCCACCGTCTAGCTCACCTGGCTCAGCAATATCCACTCTTCCATCTTGTGTTCGTCTTCGCTTCATGATGTCTGGACCTCCGCCATTCCCATTGATGCTGCCATTTGCGCCACCTTGATGATCTCTTTTGAAAGGTCGACCAATATCATCCTCTCTGTCCAATGGTGGATAAGGACTACCACCGCCTGGCGGTGGAGGTCGCTGGACATATGCACCATACCTCTCCCTAGGACCTGGGTAGCCTCTGTCCCTAAAAGTCTCTATCTCTATCTCTGTCTCTATCTCTGTCCCACCTGTCTCTCTCTCTTTCTCTCTCCCTGTCCCTATCTCTGTCTCTGTCTCGAATATAACCATCACGGTCACGATCACGATCTCTCATGAATCTATCATTAAGCATTGGTCGATAGGGAGGATTGGGATGATGCATCGGTGCATTATTCATTCTCTCATCTCTGTGGTCGATGTGATCAGCTGTTGTTAGTATTTGTATAACAAGAGTACTCGTTGAATGAATGAGCGTATGTACTTACCTGTAGTCGGCAGGGGTATGAGGATGATGTAGTTGTTGAGGTGATAGTGGTGGACCGTTATAATGTTGTTGATTGTTGTAAGTATGTTGATCACCTCTATTAACATTACTCATGATTGATTGATTGATTGACTGGTGATGAGGTGATGATGTGTCAACTCACTATCAACCTATGACACAGCATGTGCTGTTTGAACTATATTGCTATCTTAATATTATTAGGTAGGTAGGTAGGTAGAAGACAAGTTATAGATTGCTAGCTTGCTACTACACTTTAACAACATGCATGCATGACAACTACTACTATTGTGATACTAGTATCTGTGTTCTATTATGTGTGTATGATAACAACTGATATCAAATAACAGTTATTTCAAATTTGAAATTGGTTGGGTGAGTGTGACTATTCCAAGTCCACCCTTGTTGACATTGTCCTTTTGTATACATTGATTAACCAATGATGTAGACAATCATACCATGAATCTTATCCATCGACCTATATGTAATGCTTTATCGACAAGTTCAACTTTTCCTCAACGTCCTCCTTATATCACTTTTGAGATCAAGTGTCAAATTGACCGATCAATCTCATTAGATTAGACACATCATGACAAACAGTTGAACTTGTATTCGATAATGCATAATAACATGGCGTCTATATCAAGTAGTAGTAGTACTAATAATAAATAATATTTATGTATTTGTCAATCTTTAAAAGTATTGTGTTGATGATGGATGGATGTGCATTGAACAAAACGTAAACACCTCACATTAATTGTCAAAAACGAAAGAAAAAAAAAGAACTACTGATTGTTTCCCTTTTTTGAAGCATGTTGCCACTCGATCATTCAGCTCTTCTTATCTCCTTCCATCACTATTTATATATATATAAATTATAATAAGTACTATTGACAATAATGATGTTAACATCAAAGTGTAATTCACTGTTGTCAACAGCAGTCAACAGTAGTGTTGTTGGATTGTATAGACACTTCTCAGTGGCAGCAGCAGCGACAGCAACAGCATCATCAGAAGTGGAAATAGCGACCAAACCATCAAAGAAATCAAAGTCTATAAAGGTTACGACATTCTCGACAATGACACTCAATCAGCATGTTACATTTACACCACCAGTGCTCCAACCAAACGGCACTGTCATCGTTGGCCATACCACCGAGGAGAAGCCATTCGTCCCTCTCGGTCTGCCCAAGCGTGTGCTGAAGCACGAGCTGACCCAGGAGCAGCTCACCGAGATACAGAAGCTGCGTGACGAGGGTTGGTCTCAGAAGAAGCTCGCCGAGAAGTTCAGCACCACCGCATACATCATCGCACGTGTCTCTCACGTCAACGCCGCCACGAAACAGAAGTTGATCGACAACTTCCAGATCAAGGCACCAAAGGAGAAGGTCGACGTGGACGAGCGTAAGCAGCGCGTGTCGCTCTGGCTCGAGAAGAACCAGCAGCGCGAGTACGACGAGAAGGTGCTGAGGAGCGCACGCGGCTATGAGGACATCAAGATGTTCAGACGCGCCAAGCACGAATACAACTACATGGCCAACCAGGAGACATACGACGCCATCATCGCCGGTCAGGAGATGCTCAAGCCCAAGATCACCGACGACGACGCCGAGGAGAAGAAGCGCAAGAAGGAGGAGAAGAAGGATCGCAAGTCCACTGCACGTCGTCGTGCTCACATTTCAGACAAGGAGAAGTCACGTGTCAACAAGCCAAAGAAGGCCAAGGACAAGCTACTCTCAATGATGGACGAATAAACAATATCATACTACTTACTTACTTACACTTCATATTGATAGAATGAATGAATGATTGATTGATTGAGATGAGATTGTATTTACAATTATAATAATGATAAGTTATATATATCAACTCTTTATTGAGTCTTATCTGATGGATGCTCAAGATCCTTGACAGTGAATGAAGGCTTGGCACGCTGTTTCAATGGATAGTCTTCCAGTTTGTGTGAGGCCACTTGTCTACGCATGAAGCCTGTGCTCTTATCGGCAACCCACTCTCCCACATTGAAGAATCCAGAGACGAACGCCTTGGTCCTTGGCTTTTGAACCTTGGACAGAACTGTGTTGGCAAGGCTATAGATAGGATGGATGTTTAGTGTAAATGAACATGTATTGTACTGTATTGATATTGATTGAATTAAAGAACTTACTCATAACCAACAGTTCTTCTTACACCTGCAGCAGCGGTAGAGATAACGACACAGTCCAAAAGCAATGATAGGATACTGTATAGCGTTGTGATAAGTAAGTAAGTATTATGTCCCTACGACCGATAGTCCAATGTGTTGGGAGACATTAACATACCCCATGATGATGTAGTTGTAGTTGATTTATTAAAGTTAAAGGAGGAGAAGTATGTTATTTGTACAAGAAGGAAGGATATTTGTTTGATTGAATGAATATTCTAGATTGGTATTGATAGTAAAAGCAACAACAGCTCAATATATATATTTATATATACACGTATAGGTCACAAGTCAGTCAGGTGATGGTAATGATGATGAAGATGTTAAAGGACAGACAGACAATCATCTCACTGCAAACACACAATCATGATTCACTCAATTCAATTCACTTTGTGGATCGTGGTGATGCTGTCAAAGAAAAAGTACTACTTTCATTCAACGTAATCATCACAACAACAACAATCAATTGAATGAATACATCATCAAGGTTGTAATTATGATCATATGTATCTAGAGAGTTTGTTTGATCAATGGATGCAATGATTATGTCTTTGATTGATTGTTTGTCCGACATGTCCACCAGTATGAATGATTGAATGATTGAGATGAATGAATAAATGAAGGAGTGATCGATAAATATGAATGCGCTATATGATTATCCTATCTATTTATTTGAAATCTAGATTGGTTGATTGCCATGAATGGTTAGAGATAGTGTCAATCAATGTCGTTATTATGGTCTAGTTAACCAGTCCACCTATAAACATACCCATCCTTGCTTCTGCTTATGTCTAACATCGATCTTGCAATAGATAAACAGATTCTTTCCTCTTCTAATCATTTGACAGAACCTACAGATCTTCTTGATGGCTGAAACGTGTCTCATTGTGTCGCTGATATATATATATATGTGAAGAGGGTCGCTGCAAAAGGGTAATATGGTAAGACTACTTGTTATCTATTATCAATAACCTGTTACTCTACTTACTACTGAGATGTGTTGTGTTATTATATACAATAATGGTAATGAGGTATGTGTAAACCGAATGATGACAGTGGAATGATCAGTTTGTTGTGGGGCTAGAGGGGAGTGTTCAAAAACGAAGGTTGTGTTTCAAAAAAAATCAAACAAATAATGAATTAGATGTCTCCAATGACAACTCCATTCAACTCATTATTACATCCACATACTTCAATATAGATATTAGATAATAACACATAAGAATATGGATGACGAAATACTTCAAAGCATAACACAACAGTACTCAAACTACTTGTCATTCTCAAACAGTACAAATGAACAGGCTGCTAATGTTGACAGCACTATCGAGTATATGCTAGCTCGTATTGATGAGTTTGGTGCTTTCATCGATACTGTATGTTGTCTTCTTCTTCTCTCTTTCTCCAACGATGATGATCATGACCGACACAACACTGACACGACAATACACATGACACAACAACAATAATAGATAAAGACAGATACAGACAAGACTGAAAAGACATTGATACCACAACTATTGTATAGATCACAACAGGCTCAACAATTGTTCCCATTGATCGATAGACTGCATATACTATGTCAGGATATCACTGTTAGTTTGAATCAGATGGATGAGAGATTGAACCAGGCTGAGAAGCATCTGTCCAATCAAGTTGGTTCAACAAGCAATCCATTGAAATGGGTGCTTTCAAACTTGGTAAGGATGGAAGGAGCATACATTGATCAATCATGAATTGGCTGACTGACTGACTAACTGACTTACTTGATACCTATAGCAAAAGGATGACGATATCCTTCAACAGTTAAAGGCTACCAAGCCAGCACCACCTCCAACATTCGAACCAATCAAGATTCACAACACTACAGAGTTCTTCAAGCAATTGAGAGGTGAGATGCAAAAGGTGGCCAACGAGAATCCATACCAACTACCGACCAATGAATGAGTAATGCTTGATGGATCATCACAGGTAACCTGTTTATATATATAAAGTTAGTGACTACTATGTTGAAGTCAGTTGTATTTCTAATCAGGTGAACCAGCAGCAGGGGCAGCAGAGGAAGAGGAATTGTAAATATATGATGATGAGTTGGAGGAGTAGTCAAACGTCTGGTACTCTGGCTTGGGAAGGTCAGATATCTCGATATCAAGCAGGAGTTGTGTCTTTTCAGGATCTTTGAATAAGTCAAGACTTAATTTGATACAATACAACTGGTTGGTGTCCAAAACAAACATCTATGTCAGTAATCGAGTCGCAGCAATCAACCGATCCATCAATCAATACTTACAGTTCCAATACTCCAGATACCATAACATACCAAGACCAGTATCTTTGCCCATTGAGGGAATTTCAACCAGGAGCTATCGTCAACCATGAACTCAAACATATTGTACGATGCCAAGAAGAAACATAACTCTGATATTGAACAATACTATATTATTATTTGTTTATAGTTAGTATCATTGTTTTCAATATTACTATAGTATACATACAACAATAGTAGCACCCTTTTGTCTATTGGTTACACCATACTGTCCTATTACCACAGCAACTACAGATAGTACAGTGTAGAATATACCTAGGTATGTTGTAAATATTGATGGTAGACATAGTAGGAACATTAAAATCAATAATATCTTAACCTTTACTATATTCCTCTCTATTTCATTCATCTCTCTATAATTCTCTATCGCCTCCATCAGTCCACAACAATCATCTAGACATGAACTATAACAATTACAACAATAGCAATCCATCCTTTTTCCTTTCTTTTCTATATATATATTAATTTACATTCAATCACTATTATCTTTATAAGTTGTAGGTATTATTTAAGTTGGGTTGAATAATAAGGAGAGAGAGGATTGACCAAGAATGAGTATAAATTAAAATCAAAGGTTAGGAGAATGAATGGAAACACACACAATACTCAAAGAGGTAGTATCTAAAGAGTATGTCCTAATTGGGTCTTGAATAAAGTAGTGTGAAGAGCAGCATTGTCCATCCGACTGTCTTTTGGAAGGTCTGACCCCTCCAACTCAAAAAAACATCAAACACTAGGTTTGTTGAATGAATAAAAATGAATTAATTGGTTTTGAAAACGAACGAAAGATTGTTAGTTTAGATCAGTCATTCAAACATACAAACACAAACACACACATATACACATACACATACAATATACATACATATATAATGGATTTGAGTACAAATGCTAGTACGAATGGCGTTAGCCAATCATTGTTGGATCAGGACTCAACATTCGCTTCTATGTGTTTAGACGATAGGATTACAAAGGCAGTCAAGAAGATGGGTTTTGAACATCCAACACTGATACAAGCAAAGGCTGTACCACTCTCATTGCAAGGCAAAGATATACTTGCCAAGGCCAGAACAGGAAGTGGTAAGACTGCTGCCTACTCAATCCCAATCGTTCAAAAGATCCTCATGGCCAAGTCTGTAAGTTATATCATATCATTGTCAACAATCACACTTTACTAACATTATAATGATACCTAGGTTAAAGGATTTAGTAAGGGAGTTAGAGCAGTTGTGTTGGTACCAACAAGAGAGCTATGCGAGCAGGTTAGGAATCACTTCCTTCAGGTGTGCTATTATTGTATGCCCATTGTGTCTGTAGTGCAATTGGGAGGCGATCAGTCAGAGGCTGAGCAGAGGGGTCTGTTGCGAGACATTCCCGATGTGATCATCTCGACACCCACTCGTCTGGTCACACATCTCAAAGCACGCTCAGTCGTGTTGGAGAGCTCATTGGAGATGCTCGTCATTGATGAGGCTGATCTCGTCCTGTCCTATGGCTATCAAGAGGACATCAACTTTATCAAGACTGCGCTGCCCAAGGTCTGTCAAGGATTCCTCATGTCTGCCACACTCACTCCACAAGTCGAGGAGCTCAAGAAGCTCATCCTCCACACACCCGCCATTCTCAGATTGGAAGAGGATCATGCTGAGAAGGCTAACCTCTCAGAGTATTCAATCAAGTATGTTGTTATCAAACGAATGCGAGCCAAAGAAGTGATACTAAAATGTTCCTAATTCATTCTTAGATGCTCCAACATGGACAAGTTCTTGTTGGTATTCTCATTGCTGAGACTAAAGTTGATGCAGGGCAAGATTCTATTCTTTGTCAATGACACTAACAACTGTTATAAGCTCAAGTTGTTCTTGGAGAGATTCCATATCAAGGCGGCAGTACTCAACTCTGAGTTGCCAATCAACTCAAGACATCACATCATCCTTCAGTTCAATAAGGGAATGTTTGATTACCTTATCGCCACTGATGAGTCCTTCAGACAGACTGCCGTGGAGTTGAATGATGATGAGGAGGAAGATGTGGATGTCAAGGAAGAGGAACTAGAGGACGATGATGACGAACAGGAAGATGATGAAGAGGAGATTGACGTCGATGAGCAAGAGAGTGGAGATGATGAGGAAATCGAAGTAAAGGAGGAGAAGGTCACCGATGACGAACAAGAGGACGATGATGAGGATGAGGAGGATGAGGAAGACGAGGAGTCAGAGATCCAAGTTAAGGAGGAGAAGGATAGCGATGATGATGAAGATGATGCTGCCAACGAAGATGATTTCTTTAACAACAAGGATGACGATGAGGAACAAGAGGCTGAGGACGACGAAGAGACCAAGCCAGTTCCAAAGGTGAAGCACGAGAAGAAGACAAAATACACAGATACCGAGTATGGTGTTGCCAGAGGTATCGACTTTAGGAATGTCGATATTGGTATGTTATCCCATCACCGTACACACACACACAATGATCATCTGATCAGCCCAGGGACTAACCAATCAATTTAGTGGTCAACTTTGATTTCCCAAGAAGTGTAAAGAACTATATCCATCGTATTGGTAGAACAGCCAGAGGAAACAACAAGGGTATTGGTCTGTCATTCATCACTGATGATAACAATGATCTGTTGTCCAAGGTACAGAAGGAGAGAGGACAGAGTGGCTATCACTTGAAGCCATTCGAGTTCAAGATGAATGCCATCGAGGGATTCAGATATCGTGTCGAGGATGTTATCAACACAATCAGCAAGAAGGAGGTGGCTGCCGCCAGAAAGAAGGAGTTGGAGTTGGAAATCATCAACAGTGCAAAGCTAAAGGTATGTTTGATCAAGGAGTTCCCAGTATTCATTGATTGATTGATTGATTGACTAACATTGTAATTCATACAGAGTCACTTTGAAGCCAATCCAAAGGATTTGGAGGCACTGAAGCATGATGTACCACTGCTCAAGAGGAAGGTTGCAAAGAATCTTCGTATCATTCCAGATTACTTGTTGCCAGAGGCGATGAAGTCATCTGCCAACTCTAGACTGCAGGTCATTCGCAGAGAGAGACCAGCTAACAGCAACAACAACAGCGCGGCAACAAAGAAGAAGAATGATATATTGAGCAATTTCCACAAGAAGAAGAATCAACAGAAGCAACAGAAGCAGTTTGAGCAGCAGTCAAAGAAGAGAGCCGATCCAGATCAACTTGTCAGACAGTATCAGATCAAGGAGAACGATGTCAACAGCTCTGGTGGTCTCAAGTCAACCAAGAAGCTCAAGCTTAACAAATAAATCGTCACTTTGGTCAATCAATCCTGTGTCGTTGTGGCTTCCAATATAGGAAAGAAAGATTTGAATTCAAATTCCCAAATTATTTGAATCGGCCGTTAGAAACGGTTTGATTCTTTGAGTGTCACATGAATTAAACACAATGATCATTTATAATACTTAGATATCACCTAAGTATATGTAATTATATATATAAAGATGAATAGACATATACAGTCACAGTCACTACATCAAAGACCAAATCATCAAACAGTTGATTGGGATCATTTGGCACATTGCTTTGAGCGATTGAACGACAAGAACATATATCATCTAGCAGTCGAAGACATTGTAAATGTAATACAATCACTTGACACTGACAATATACCTATATTCATTGTATGTACATCATTAGATTGAGTTCAAGTCACATTCCCTCTAACTCACTCACTCAATCACACACATAATCAATCAAACCTGTAGTCCTATCTTCTAAACAATGACTCTGAACAAATGAATGCACTGGCAAGAAAGGAAACAATTAGGATCATTGGATTCTTTGTTGGATTACAGAAACATAGAGTGGCACAATATCAACGTAGATTGGCCAATGCCATTTTTGGTATAATGTTTGACACTTATCCAGGTACAAGTGATATGTGTGCAGAGACCATTGGTATACTTGCCAAACATGCCAGTCATCAACCACCTGAACAAAGTGAAACTACAGCTACAGCAACCTCAACAACGACAACGACCATGGATAATCAAGGTCCACTGGATATATACCTTAGGCCATGTCTGAAGATACTCTCGTCGGATGATGCCAAACTACATCAGATGACTGCTGCCAATGCCATCACAAGTGTTGTTGAGAATGCCCAACTCAATCATCTACGTCCACACATGTTGATGTTGTGCACCAAGTTGTTGAAACGACTGCAGGACGACAAATGTCAGTGCCATGCTCAGTTGCTTCAGGCGTTAACTTCTCTGATAATGGTGTCGGGCAACTATATCTCAGCACAGACGCCACTCATGGCATCAACAATGGTCCAGCTATTGACTACCCCAGACTGGATGATACGAAAGGCTGCATGTGATGGATTGGCAGCCATATGCACACGCACCTCCAAGGACACTGTGGTGGCCTTCCAGGAGCAGGTGTTGGAGGCACTCGAGCAGTGTCGCCAGGACAAGATCAAGACGGTGCGTGACGCTGTCCACTCAACCATATCTCTGTACAAATCATTATTCGAATCACCACTGCTCATTCCAACGACACCTCCATTGTTGGCATCACGATTATCATCACCGGCACCATCGCCCAGCTCCACGCCCATCCTGATGTCACCTCGAAACCTATTTGATCAGAACCAGTTCATACCATCACCTCACAAGAAGCATGGAGCATCCAAGCACAAAGAGGTCATTGGCAGTAGCATATCATCATTAATATCACCATCACAGCCATCATCAACATCATCATCAACAACCATACCACCACTCAATCTCACTAAACACTCATTATTGACTCCAAAGTCACCATCACGTGGCAAGTCATCATCAACAACATCCACCAGCACACCATACAAAGCACCAATCAATAGTGCCAGCATTAGTAATAGTAGCAGTGGAAGTAGCAAGTCACTATTGTCCAAGCCCAAGAATAGTTCTGGAAGTACATCAAAGTCAAGCACCTCTAGCACCACCACGACATCTTGGAATGAAGGCGATTCCCAAGCAGCTTCCAACAAAATCGTCACTACCAAGAAGCCATTATCCTCACCATTGGTAGTGTCCCAACCAGCATATGTTGTGAGCCAATCAAATGTTGGCAGTGCCAACAACAACATGTCCGCTTCCACCACCTCGTCCATGCCAATGGCAGCGGCCTCTCCACCACACTCACCTCCACCAGCGCCCAAACATGTACATGTTCAGACATCACAATCACTGTCACAAGAGTCATTACAAGGCGGTGGCAGTAGTGGTGGCGGCAGTGAGTGGTCCAACAGTGAGAGCAATACCAAGCTGATACAACATCTGATCAAATCTATGAATATGTTTATGGATGAGACACGGGATTCAATTGATTCACTCAAGGATCGCATCAGTTCACTGGAAGTGTCAATGATCACTCTCCAACAACAACAAATACAACAGCTACAACATCAACACCATCATGATTGATTGATTGAATAAAGGCAATCCTGGAAACGCCAACACTTTGTTTGGGTGATTATATTTTGTGAAGTTCAAAACTAAATGATCATTCATTCATTCTGAATCACTCAATCAAAGAGATAATACATAGATAGATAGAGAGAAAGAAAGATGGAAAGAGCAATACCATCATTATCATCATCGTCATTGCTGTCCAGCTCATTGCCACCAAACTCATTGTTTGCATTGTTCAATACATTGTCAATGAGCAAGGAGCAGCAACAACATGGTGTGGGCGGTGGTTCGACTAATAGCAGCAGTGTCACTCAACAGCAGTCGCAGCAACAGCAATCACAGCAGCATCAGGATGCACCCAGCATGATGGACACCAAAGAGGAGGATCGCGAGTGTGCCAACATCATCATGGAGATTGACAAGGGTATCCGATCGCCCAACCTCGGCGACCAAGTCGAATCCATCCTCTTCTACGCCCACCTCATCAAGTACCACCCAACGCCTCTCGTCGTTACATCCTCAATAATCAAACTTGCCGATATCTTTAGAACAAGGTATGTTTGTCTGATCATTCGCATCACCAACAGAGCCACTCACTTACCCTACCTTACCCTACCCTTGTCACAGCAACAACATTGTCAAGTATCGTATACTAAAGGTGTTCCAAGAGTGTTCACAAGAGATACATAGAATATCAAACATTGATGAGGTGTTGAAGAGGATACACAGTGTAATACTGTCAAATGATACTGTGGCAAGAGCTTTGGCACTGCGTGTACTCGGCTCAGTGCCACTGTTGATTGCCGACAAGCTGTATATACATCATAGTATTCGATCATGCATGCAGACTCACGATCAGGTCGAGGCCAATGCTAACTACTTCATCATGGACAAGCTGTGCGAGATCTCTCCATTGTTCTCTGACAGCATCATTGAGAAGATCAACTCGATCATCCAGGCCATTGAAACACCGCCCCTCACCAAACTCAAGTACACACGACTGTTCCGCCACATGCATCACAATCATCTGATATCCAACCAGTCCCGCGCCATGTTGATTGGTCTTCTCGACCTCTATCCCTCTGTTGTGCCAGTGACCCTCATCCTTGACACAATGACAGAGTTGGCATCAAAGCATCTACTCCATGTTAACGATCATGTATGTTTCTTTTGATTCTTGTTCAATGACATTGAATCTGACCTTGACCCTTTACCTTCCTCCAGATCACATTCCTTATGAACTACGTTCTCCAAGACCCTCGACTAAAGGTCAAAGTGACAGGACTCAAGTGCTTGCAGCGCTTGGCAAAGATGTCACCTCACTCAATCTTCCCATTCAACGTATGTAACTGATCAATCAATCAATCAATCAATCAATCATATTGTAACTCATTCATGTTATACAATATTAGGATATCTTTGGACTTTTGGATGATGATCAGGTCAGTGATACGATCAAGTATCATTGTTTGTTACTACTGTCACATCTGTCATCGATACAATACAAGTCAATACTGGACGACAAACAGAAATATACCATCACACTAATGCAGTTCACAACGCATGACAATAGCATGCTCTCTGATCGATCCGTTGAGATAATCACCAACCTACTCCTGGAGGATCAATCAAACGATCAATCACTTGGTATGTGTTTGTTTGAGTAGGATCAATCCAACACCTTGACTAACGCCTAGCCTTCCAGTCCTCCAATTCATTGAGAGGATATGTCATATATTGCGCGACAAGTATTCAACGAATACATCATCATCACTCTCCAAACACTCCAAGACATTGTCTTCGATCATTAAGTTGTTGAGACAATATCCTTCATACTCTGGCGCAGTCACAAGTACGATCATCTCACTCTTTGGCAAGGTGTCAGATGACACTATAGAGCACCTCATTCATTGCATATCGATATATATCCCATTCTCCAAGTCATCCATGCATCCACACTTTGACAAGATCATATCATTCTTGGGCGAGACTGTATCTCAACAAGGAAATCCAAAGATTATTGTAAGTTGAAGCTGGAGAGGGAGGAGAAGGGACACTGGCAACACCAACTAATCAAGATCGTTCATTCCAAACAAAGGTGTCGATGATCATCTCGATATTTAGATCATACGATGAACACATACAGTTGATGACTGATGTTGTTGATGCATTGCTGCCACAGATTGAAGCCATCTGTCAATTGCCAAACATGCAATGGTGTACATATCAGCTGGCACAACATGCTCAGAAACATGGATTTCATCTTGTAGCTGCAACTATTTACAGACACCTTTTGACCAAGGTGTCATCAGAGTATAACTACTTCTGGTTGAAATCACTACTGAGCTTTGTAACAATCGAGCACAACATTAGTAGTAATGGTAGCAGAAGAGGCTCCAACATATTGGACCCAATGGACACTGGCACTGGCACTGGCAGTGGAGTTCCAAGCATGTCGTCACTCTTGACACAACTCAACACTACCCTCATCTCTTTAAAGGTAAGTCCATCATTCAATCAATCAACCCTGGAGCCAACCCACTCACACATCGCGCGATATAGGCCAGCAGTATTCAAGAGAGATCTCTGTCATTCCAAGAGAACTTTATCACATTGCGAGAGCGATACCTGTATAATCTACTTAACATCAAGCTACTGTTGAGCCAATACTTTACATTGTCCAACATCACACCACGTGCATCGACACTGCTGCAGAGCAGGATACAATCATTCCAAACCATGTCGAAGCAATACTCTCAACTCATGCCACTGAGCCATTCAACTCGCCAATCATTGCAGCGTCAACAACAGCCAGATCACAATCATCATTGGAACGAATCGAGGAGTATAATGGAATGCTACAGTATCGCTTGTAACTTGGTGGCGTTACTTCTACACAGTGTTGGCAGCAGTCAAAACAACACCAACAACATCAACAACAGTAACCTGTTTGGAGCAATCAGCAGTGGGAAGAGCATTGAGAGATACCCGTTGTATCGAATGTGCAAGTTCATCTATCAACAACATCAGTCTCAAGACTCCTCCTCCAGTGATCATATCCAATTCCTCTGCAATTCCATTGACCTCCTGATGACTCTTCCAGCCAACTATCCAATGCAATTCTTTAATCACCAACCTCATCATTGACAATCATAAGACACCACTCGAGTGTAACAGGTGTAACACCATTACTCCAAAGGCCTATTCAGGCAATATACGTACATAACACAAAGTTGATCAGATTAATGGATGGATTGTGATGGCCCTCTCGATCGAAGTGTGTAACATTTGTTAGGATGTGTGGATGTTCAATGACGAAGAAGCATTTCAGACCATTGTTTGTTTGTTTGTTGGGTCAGTTACCGATTACTCAGTCAATATTAGAGTTCTGATTGTGATAGAATGTGACCGAACCACACACATTAACTTTGAAAGTAACAAGTAAGTTAACACTCTCACAATGGTCATTTAATACATTACACTTACAAATTGTTAAATATCGCAGTGACAACTCAAACATTAGTAGTAGGATGGATAGGCCTATGTATGTTGGAACCCATGGTGGCAAATGTTGACCATTCGTTTATAAGAGTTCCTTGAAGTTGGCATCATTGTCCACTAACATCATAAATGAAGTCATCGCCTGTCGCCTATGCCAGTGAACGATTGATAGCAGCCAGCAGTAGCCCTTAAATTCATCCATCCACTCAACTATCCTTTCTGCAACGCATCGCATCTCATCCATCCACCTTTGTACACCTGTACAAACACACTCCACCACAACTCTCGTGTTCAACCAATCACCCGTGTTTTTGCACCACACTTTTAAATCGACAGACTGCTGGTGATTGGTCACACCGACACACTCACAATGACTTGTGTTTGTGTGTGTGTGTTTTGTTGGCATCATTAGAGCAAGAAGATGAACAGGCATCTGATGCATGATGTGTTTGTTCGTTGGTGTTGGTTGATGGATGTTCTGATCGTTTACCCAACATAGCACAGCCACGAATGGTCACATATTCAGAGTGTCTACCGACATCTAAAGATGAAGACCTTGCAATGTTTTTGGCGAACTTGGTTGGGCCAAGCCTAGCCTGCTTGCCTCTTGCTTGCCTGTGAATGATGAAGTTGTAGTACCATCCTTCGCCCCCCACCATCCTACTTTGAGGGTGTTATAAATATTTATTTAAAGATGTGTTTGGACCAACTGGAATCAAGAACTTTACTTCTACCATCCATCCATTCAATATATATATTAATATAAAACTATAAACATAGTTACATTACCAATCATTTAACATTACTACCTTTCTCTATCTCTCTTGTTGTATACCACTACCAATCTTGTAGATAATTATTATAATAATCATATATATTTTTATATTTTACTATATCGATACATATACTATACTATACTTTATTATACTATACTTACCAATCAATCAAAAGTCATCATCAAGATCATTCAATAATATAACATTACAACCGTTTATTATTATCCAGAATAATTATCATTATCATTATTTATTATTATAATCGACGGTACAGTACTACCATATTGTTAAATTTAATTATTTAAATTAATATTATTATTATACCATTACCTACTACAATCATTATATATATAACATTACTACTACTACAATATATTGTAATTAACCCATAAACAAACATTAATTGTTTACCACAAATTTACAAAACATCATGATGTTCAGAAATCAACCAATCGCTATCATTGGAGTTGGATGCAAGCTACCAGGTGATATAACAAACATCGATCAGTTCTGGAATATTGTTGCCAATGGCACCGACTGTTTGACAAACATTCCCACAGATAGATGGGATGCTGACACCCTTGCTTCCAAGGAGTTCAAGCTCAACAACCGCATCGGTGGCTTCATCAACGACATTGACAAGTTTGATCCACAGTTCTTTGGCATGTCTCCCAAAGAGGCTGCTCAAGTTGATCCACAACAAAGACTAATCCTTCAAGTATGTATCTTTCATTCAATCAATCAATCAATCACTAACTCAATCACACTTAAAGGTTGCGATGGAAGCACTTGAGGATGCAAAGTTGTCTACAAAGCAATTGAAGGGTACAACTACTGGTGTGTTTATTGGATCGAGCTCATCTGACTATCAACGCACGATGGGTCAGTCTGAGATCAATCAGTTTACCACACAGGGTTGCAACTCATCATTCCTTTCAAACCGTCTGTCCTACTTCTTGGACATTGCCGGACCAAGCATGACTGTCAACACTGCCTGCTCTTCATCATTGGTTGCCATCCACTTGGGTGCCAACAGCATATGGAGAGACGAGTGTCGCATGGCCATCGTCGGCGGTGTCAACATTGTATCATCACCACTTCAATCACTCGACTATGGCAAGGCTGGTCTTCTCTCTACCGACCCATCCGGTCGTTGCTACAGTTTCGATGAGCGTGCCTCTGGCTATGTCCGCGCCGAAGGTGCTGGAGTACTCATTCTCAAGAATCTCTCCGACGCTGTCAAGGACAAAGATGACATTCACTGTGTTATCATCAATACTGCCACCAATCAAGTATGTACCTTCATTCATCAAACCATCAGCAAGTGATAGACACTAACTTACTCATACTTTATAGAATGGCCAAACACCAAGTGGCATCACAGCACCAAGAGCTGTTCAGCAGGAGGCACTGTTGAACAGACTGTTGGATGGAGCTAACGTTTTGCCAAAGGATATTGGTTACTTTGAGTGTCATGGCACTGGTACTCAGATGGGTGACGCCAATGAGTTGGAAGCAATCGGTAATGCCATTGGTAAGCATCGTGACACCCCATTGCCAATCGGCAGTGTCAAGAGCAACATTGGTCATTTGGAGGGTGCCTCTGGCATTTGTGGCGTGCTCAGATCAATGGCCAGTCTCAAGATGAGGACTCTGTCACCAATGTGCACCAAGGGCTTCGCCACACTCAACCCCAAGATCCCATTCGACAAGTACAATCTGTTGGTGCCAACCACCACTATGGAGTGGGGCGACGACAGACGTCTTGCCATTGTCAACTCGTTTGGTGTTGGTGGATCCAATGCCAGCGTGTTGATCTCCAACTACATCCCCAACCTGAAGGCGTCATTCGACCTCTCTGACGGTGAGGAGGCTGCCATCTCAGCCTCCCAGCACATGGAGGTGTTCACAGTCTCTGTGAATGTGAATGACCCAGCAGTGATGGCTGAGCGCGTTCAGGACATGCTCGAGTACATTGAGAATGAGGGCGAGTGCATCAGTCTCAAGGATCTCTGCTACACTTCAACCGTTCGCACCAACCATCTCTCAAACCGTCTATCATTCCTCATCAACTCTATCCAAGATCTCAAGGAGAAGATGGAGTCCTACATCAATGACCCCGAGGTCTCAGACTCGTGCATCATCCGCAAGGAGTCATCAGACGCCTCCAATCAATTCGACAAGAAGAAGATCGCCTTCGTCTGCTCGGGTCAAGGCCAACAATGGATCTCAATGGGCAAGGAGTTGTTTGAGGGTAATGCAGTGTTCCGCAGCCAGTTCATCAGATGCTCGAGCCTGTTCCAAGCTCTGTCTGGCTGGTCGCTCATCGACAAGCTGTTTGACCCAAGGAACACTGAGGCCATCCATGACACTTGGTTGGCCCAACCATCAATTTTTGCCGTTCAAGTCGGCATTGCCGCCGTGCTCAAGGAGGCTGGCGTCCGCCCATCATCAATCATCGGTCACTCACTGGGTGAGGTCGTTGCCGCTCACATCGCTGGCATGCTCACACTCGAGGACTCTATCAAGTTGATGTGGACTCGCAGTCATCTCCAGAACAAGACCACTGGCACTGGCAAGATGTGCATCGTTGTGTCATCCAAGGATGACATCTTGGCATTGGCTGATCGCTATGGCCTTGCTGGTCAGATCGTCATTGCTGGCAACAACTCATCAAAATCAGTTGGCATCAGTGGCAGCAACGCAGCCATGGAGACCTTCATGAACATTATGAAGGATGAGCACGTTGCTTTCAAGCCAATCAGGATCAACGCAGGCTTCCACTCATACCTGATGGACACGATCAAGGATGAGTTCTTCAAGCTCTTCCCCAACATCACCCTCAGCTGTCCAAAGGTCCCATTCTACTCCACGACCACCGGCCAACTGATCGACTCCTCCAACTACCAGACACTGGGAGTGAACTACTGGTGGAGCAACCTTCGTGAGACTGTCATGTTCAAGGAGGCACTCACCGAGTTGATGAACCGTGAGGAGATGGACTGCTTCCTCGAGATCTCTGCCCACCCCATCATCTCATACTTTGTCAATCACATGATTCGTGAGCGATCGACCAACCACGTGATCCTGTCAACCATGTCGCGTGATGCATCAAACCACGACACAATCATGTCCTTGCTCTCCAAGCTCTATGTCAATGGCTACTCAACCAACTGGGAGGCATTGTACCGCCGCCGTCGCCACACTGCCCTGCGCCTTCCAGCTCGTCGCTGGAACATGGACACCTACTGGATCGAGTCAGCCCAATCAATGACCGATCGTCTGGCCATGCCCAAGCGCAGCTCGCTCACACGTCGCCTCGTCTCATTGTCACCATCATTCGAGGTCACCATGGACTCGTCTCGCTTCAAGTACTTGGCCGACCACCAGATCCAAAAGGTAGCTATCGTGCCCTACGCCTTCTTCCTCGAGGTGGTGTACGCCGCCATGAGCGAGTTGGCCCTCGAGTTGCCCTCGTCCAACTTTGAGGTCACCAACTTCCAGATCCAAACTGCACTGGAGATTGACGCCAAGTTCAACATGGTGATGCAGATCAACTTCAACAGCAAGCTGACCCACTTTGAGATTGGAAGCATCTCTGATGCCACCAGCGTCCCCGTCAAATGGACCGTCCACGCCACTGGCAACATCACTCAGTCCAACGTCACCGAGCTCAAGAACACTCAATCATCCTCTGTTAACAACCCATTCGAGTGTGACAATGTTATCGATGGCAATGAGTTCTATGCCAAGATTGTCAAGCTTGGCTACAACTATGGCCCATCATTCCAAGCACTCAAGAGATGTGCTCCCAAGTCTGACAACATGAGCCAGGTTTCTGAGATCGTGCTGCCATCCACCTCTGAACTGAACGCCCACACCAACTCTGACTTTGCCCTGCTGCACCCTTCAGTGCTGGATGGTGTCTTCCAATCATGCTTTGTGCCCATTGAGCAGAAGCGCCAAGGACTCTGGATCCCTCAGTCATTCGACAAGCTGACCTTGATCCCTCAGATGGTCACAGACATTAGAGCACCATTGCACTCATACACCACGATCACCAATCACAAGGACAAGACCACCTTTGTCTGTGATATCTCTGTGGCCAAGCCCGATGGAACAGTCGTCTGCCAGTTCAACAATCTGACCATGAAGTGCATTGCCAGAGCATCATCCACTTCTGAATCCACATCGGCCACAGTCCAGCTCAATGATCAATTGTACAGCTGCAAGTGGTCAATGTCCAATGAGGGTGCCATCAGCCATGACACCACTCGCTTCAACAAATACGTGCTGTTTGCTGATGATGAATCATCTGATTTGACAATCAGTGTCGTGTCCAGTCTGATCAACACCCACAATCTGACTCAGGATCAACTGTACATTGTCAAGCAGTTTGGTGACTCACTCACCCACTACGTCGTTGACACTGTTGGCAACGTGATCTCTGTGCCAAAGACCCCTGTCGCCGCCGACTACATCCATCTCTTCAACATGTTTGCCAAGACTCAATGTCACATGATCATCCTCCCATCATTCTTTGTTGACAACAACACTGTCTCCGCTCCATGCACCGCCCTGGTCGAGCAATCCTACGCCTCTTTGCTGCTCATCCTCCAACAGGCCATGAGCAACGAGGTCAGTGGACGTCTGACACTGGTCACCAAGCATGGCCAGAGCATTGACATGGCTGATCAGGTGGACTTCACCCAGTACTCATTGATTGGAATGTTGCGTGTATTCTGCAATGAGTACACCGCCATGCACAGCTCAATGATCGACCTCGACTCTGCCACCCTTCAGTCGCCATCAGTCTGTGCCACACTACTTGTGGACGAGCTATCGCGTGTCGAATCTAAATGGGAGGTCGCTTTCAGATCCTCAAAGAGATACACCTACGACTTCCAATCACAACTTGTTTTGGACGAGTCGATCAAGAGCACCGTGGTGGCACCAAAAGACGAGCGTCGCTATCAGGTCGAGATCTGTGATAATGGTGTCATCTCTGATCTGTCAATCGTGGAGACCGCTAGAGTGTCACCAAAGGATGGACAGGTTGAGATCAAGGTGGACATCACATCACTGAACTTTAGAGACATCCTCAAGACCCTTGGAAGAGACTATGATGCCAACCACATTGCCACCATTGGTGATGAGTTTGCTGGTGTAGTCACAGCCGTTGGCAATGGAGTTTCGCACCTCACTGTTGGAGACAAGGTGTTTGGCATCAACATGGCCAGATCAATGTGCTCGCACATCACCTGCGACGCTGACCTCGTCTTCTCCATCCCCACCAACATGACCTCCGAGCAAGCCTGCACCATCCCAATCACGTTCCTCACTGCATGGTACTCAATCGTCGTACAAGCCAAGCTCCAAGCAGGCGAGAAGATCCTCATCCACTCGGCTGCAGGTGGTGTTGGTCTGTCCGCCGTCCAGATCGCCAAGCACCTGGGCGCAGAGATATTCGTATCAGTGGGCACCAAGGACAAGGTCGAGTTCATGAAGACCATTGGCATCGCCGCCGACCACATCCTCAACTCCAGAAATGCCAGCTTCCACGACGACATCATGCGCCTCACAAATGGTGCAGGTGTTGACGTTGTCCTCAACTCACTGTCTGGCGACCTCATTGCCAAGAGCATCCTATCACTTGCCAACTACGGACGCTTCGTTGAGATTGGAAAGAAGGACATCTACTCTGACTCAAAGATTGGATTACTTCCATTCCGCAACAACCTCTCATATCTCGCTGTTGATGTTGCTCAGATGACAATCAACCGCAGAGCATACTTGGCCAACCTTATGAACAAGACATTGCTGCCACTGTTTGAGTCCAAGTCCCTCAACCCACTGCCATTGAACACCTTCAACATTAGCAACGTCGTTCAATCATTGAGATACATGTCGTCTGGCAATCACATTGGCAAGAACTTGGTGTCATGGTGCGACATCAACAAGGTCGCTCACACTGTCGACCTCCCCTTGACCCTGGCCACTGGCGCAACCTACATGTTCACCGGTCTTGGTGGCCTTGCCATGACAATGGCCAACAAGATGGTCCAACTCGGAGCCAAGAACCTGGTCTTTGTCTCAAGGAATGGCGCAGACACCAAGCAGAAGCAATCATTCATCGAGAGTCTGAGCGGAGTCAATGTGTGCGTGAAGAAGTGCGACTTGACCAACGAGAACAAGACCAGATCGGTCTTTGCCGAGTTGATCAAGGAGGGACATGTGATCAAGGGCGTGTTCCACACCGCTGGACTTCTCCAAGACAAGCGTCTTGTAGAGCAGACCCTGTCCTCATTCAATGTTGCATTCCACTCCAAGGCCACCAGTGCACTCAACCTGCACAATGCATCCATCGAGCTTCTCGAGCAACCATTGGACTACTTTGTCACATTCGGATCTGCCATCACAGCGCTTGGCAACCCAGGCCAGTCCAACTACGCCACTGGCAACCGTTTAGTCGAGGCTCTCACACTGCATCGCAAGCAATCTGGATTGAACGCCACCTGTCTCCACTTGGCACCAATCCCAGAGATTGGTATGTCTGCCGATGAGCGCATTACATTCATTCTGAACAACATGGGTTTCACCCCATACACCAGTTTGGACGCAATGGCCACTGGTATCGTCGAGTGTCTCAGCGTCAAGGCCAAGGAATCCGTTGTGCACTACTGCGACTACAAGTTCAACAAGTGGATGTCGTCAGTACCATCGTTCAGAGGAGAGATGTGTCTCAACATTGTAGAGTCCGTTGCCAACATGGCCGTTGATGACTGTGAGGAGCACCATGCTGATGAGGTCCAAGAGGACGTCAGCAACAACACTCAATCAAGTGCCGAGATTGAACAATCACTCAAAGAGATTGTTTCCAACATCATGGAGATCAAGTTGGAGAAGGTTGACGCCAATGCCAACTTCAAGGACCTTGGACTGGACTCTTTGCTCGCTTCAGAGTTGTCCAACTCTATTCACAAGAAGTTCAGTGTCTTTGTTCCAAGTCTCTCACTCCTCGATGCCAAGGCCTCGATCAACACTGTCATCAACAAGATCAACCCATCTGCCTCCGCCACCACTTCATCCTCATCCAGCAAGCCAGCTGGTGTCAAGAAGAATGCTCAGGATGAGTTGGTCAAGAGGACAATTGAATCGATCATTCAATCAAAGAAGCCAAACAATGAGAAGAAGCCAGTGGACCTCAAGAAGCACATGATGTTGTCACCAACAACACTCCAAGTGCCTTCAGTGCGTGTAAATCATGCTCAGGTCGTGCAACAAAATGTTACACTTCCAGCCCTCTCATTGCCAACATACGCCACACCACTCTCATTCAGCAGCCCAAGCACACCAGCATCCGTCTCTCCAGTATCCACATCGCCAAAGAATGTGTCGAGACCAGCCTCACCACGCGAGGTAGTGACCATCCCAGTGCCAGTCACCGTCAACCACACTGCACCAGTCCAGCGTCGCGACAATGACGACGACTACGCAACAGCCATCTACGCCATCGAGCCTCTGTCAGCGCCATTCGCCACCACTCAGAAGCACGTGTTTGACTCGTACAAGGACCACACCAACGAGCTCACATTCATGACCAACGTCTACAAGAACTGCAAGATCAAGGAGCGTTACATGTTTGTCGACACCAAGGATCATATGGCACTCAACGCCAAGACCACATCCGAGAAGAACACTATGTTTGCCTCCATCGTCCACAAGACAATTGTCGAGGCAGGTGAGCGCATCATCCAGCGCAACGGTATCGACAGATCCAAGATCTCGCACGTTGTTGGTGTCACCTCCACTGGAATCCTTGCGCCATCAATCGACGCCGTGCTGTGCCGCGATCTCAACCTCGAGCCAACTGCAGGTCGCACAATGATCAACTTTATGGGATGTGGTGCTGCAGTCATTGCCCTTCGTACTGCTGCCGTCCACGCCAAGAACCGTCCAGACACCTACGTGCTGGTGATGGCAGTCGAGTCTTCCACCACCAACATGGACATCGACCCCAATGACAAGGGTGACATTGTATCTGGTTGCATCTTCTCAGATGGATGTGCTGCCGCACTGGTCACCTGCCAGTCCAAGTCCAAGCTGGCTGGCAAGCTTCAAGTCGTCGATGACATCTCATATTTGATGAAGGACTCACAAGACGCACTGTTCATGCATATGGGCGATCGCGGCATTGACCTGTCCCTGCGCCCACACCTGTCTGTCGCAATCGAGAAGTACATCAAGTCGACCATGGACAGCTTCCTTGGCGCTCACGAGCTTGACATTAGTGACATGGAGTTCTGGGCTGTGCATCCAGGCGGTCGCAAGATCTTGGAGGCTGTTCACAATGGTCTCAACCTTGGCGCAGAGGAGTTGGCCGAGTCCTACGAAGTGATGAAGTGGTATGGAAACATGGTGTCCTGTTCAGCTCTCTACGTACTTAAACGTGTGATCGAGAAGATCAAGAACCTCAAGGCTGAGAATGGAAAGGGACTACAACAAGGAATTGTTATGGCCTTCAGTCCAGGTGCATCCATTGAGGCAATGCTCCTAAGGATGATCAACTAATCAATTAAACAAACAATAAATCAATCATTAAGATGTGTATACAAGTAAGAGACTCGAAATATCGCTCATCGATCCAACCAAATTTGTCATTTCTTGTTGAGGCTGGAAAGCCCTTGTGTAGATTATGGAAGAGCTAATAGAACATTGAAGTAAAGAGGATAATGATACTAACTAGTAACTTGAAATGTAAATAATAATAAATGAAATTAATAATCAATTAATCCCAATTAATTACCAAAGTATATACTTTGATCATAGCATAGGTAAGTAAGACTGGCAATTTAGCTCACCAGGTATAAACACCCAGATATTCAATTGTACTGATCCGATCGTTCGTTCAGTCATTTGTTTTATTATTCGCTTGTCCGATGATGATGTTGATGTTGTTGCTGTTGCTGTCGCTTCTCGATCTGCTCATCAATGTCTAGCAGTTGTGAAAGAGTGACGAACTGGTAGCCCTCGGCAATTAGCTGTGGAAGCATGGTGCGTAGCGCAGGCATTGTATAGGTGCGGTCGTGAAGAATGATTACGGAGCCCGGCGAGATGGTAGCCGTCACGTACCACGAGTTCACCGATGGCAGGCGGATGAATGGGTCATGCGGATACACATTGCCCAGACACAGTTGATATCCATGCTTTCCAATAGTGTCCAACATATGTCGATTGAAGAACCCTGATCCAGGTCTAAATAGCTTCCTCCTTCTCACATTGAATGAGTTACCTTGTGTATATAATATATTATTGTTGTTGTCATTGTCTTGATGTTGTTGTGATGATGTCGTTGATGTTGATGTTGATGTTGATGATATTGATTGATTGTATCGTTCATAATAACGAGTATATGTCCTGTTGATTATTTGGTCGACATGTATTAGCTGTCGCTCAAACTCTTTGGACTCGAGAGTGATGGATGGCTCGTCTTGCCACATGTGATTGCCAAGCTCATGGCCTTGATCCAGCATCCTGTCCAGGATGTTCTGGTTGCTACGCTTGCGCATCACATGCTTTCCAATCAGGAAGAATGTGGCCTTGACGTCGTACTCGGCTAGAATATCGAGAATGTCCATGGTGTCGGGTGATGGTGCGTCGTCTATAGTGAGCGTGACCAACTTGCGTCGTGCCACCTCGTCGCGACCGTCCACATAGAACACGACCTCGCCTTGAAAGTGATTGGATATGGCTCGAACTATAACATTGGGCTGGAAGTATATCAGCACACCCAACAGCAATGCTGAGAACAACAATGTCAAGCGCCAATACCGCCGCCTCCTACTCCTCTTATTAGACTTTTCTATGCACATTCTAATACTATCTGCTTCTGTTGTTGATGGTGATGACGATGACGATGACGATGATGATGTATGATCATTGTCATCACTACTATCGTTTACCAATTTCCGATTCATCTGTACTGTTGTTGCTGTTGCTTGTATCTATGTATATATATATATGACTATGTTGATGATGATGATAATGATGTAGCAATCAATGATGCTACTAGATTCATAAGACTATCGACAAAGACGACTATGATTGATTGACATTGATTGATTTGAGTAAGTGATTGAGTGATGATTAATGTTTAACAATGTTAATGTTAATGATAATGATTGAGGTGATTCAAAGTATTTGTTGTTGTTGGTATAAGAATTGCAACATTCAAGCATTGTCAACTGACTTTTCACAGACGAGTAGGTCATTCATTCATTATTCATTCATTCAAACTTGGAGCTCGTCACCACCAAACATCGAATTTCGAAACACTCACATATTTATCTTTAATCTTTGATTGATGATCGTGATATATATATATCTCTCGAGATTGATCAATCAATCTCCGACGACAATCACATGTGATAATTATATATAAATAATCACACCACACCAGTAGAATCCAAGTAAGTCTAACAATAGTTATTGGACATCAGGAACCTTGAGAGAATGCCCTCTCTTGCCTCCCTCCACAATGATGTGCAATCTTCAACAACACGAAAGGTCCTATCATTTTTTGCTAGAATGGATTGACCCAACCCTTGGAAAAATACATTTATTATAATAATTTTAATTAAAAATTACCTGATGATTAATCAACTATCAAAAAAACACCAACTGATCAAAATCACCAATAGTGTGAAGTGTGTGTTTTGTTTTGTTTGTATGTTTGTGTTGTCAGTCTGCCATTCTTGGTTCCCATCCCTTTTGGCTCAGCCATCATCATCATCAACAATTCATTCATACACTATACATACACACAATCACTTCTTCTTATTACAACAAACACAAGTCTCTCGCTCACTCACTCACTCAACAACACACTCAACACACACAACAGCAGGTGCAAGGACTTACAAACATCAACTCGCAATTCATTCATTGTGTTGTGTGATCAGATCACATTTCAAAAACATCTCACCCAACCGTTGTATATTAATAGTTATAATAAGTATAAATATAAAAGTCAACAAAAGTTAGTTTGTTAGTTAGTTAGTTTGTTAGTATTGTTGTAGTATTAGGAGACATATAATATGGCCGATGCATTAGCACTCTTGAACCAAAAGTTCCCCGTGGCAGATGTCATTGCAGGCACTGTCTGTGAGCGAGCAATCAAGTCAGTATCATCATCATTATCATCGATACATGTCAACAACCAGATACAGATATATTGAACATAATCATTGACTCATCGACCTATCCATCAATCAATCAAACACATTCGAACAACAAACAGATGGGAATTGACAATTGACAATGATCTCAAACCACACTGGCATCATAGTATCGTCTGCGTGACGATTGAAAAGGCGCCATTCGCCAAGGGTAGTTGTCGTACGGCACACAAGCTGAAAGATTGGTCAAAGCCAGGCATGGAGCTCGTGGGCAAGTTCTCATCAAACAAGAAGACGACAAGAGACTCTTATTTCACCGATGTCCTCATGCAGACCTTTTGCTCAAAGTGGGCAGAGAAGTTCAACGAGAGCAAGCCTCCCAAACCAATCACATTCCTTCCCACCTACGTCTACGAGCTCATCGATCATCCACCCCCCTACCCAGTCTGTGGAGGTGAGCCATTCATCGAAGGAGAGTACAAGTATGTCAAGATCAAGATCAATATCAATCACATGTGTCGGAGTCATTCCACTCACTCAATCAATCCAATCAAACACTTTTCCAATCATTACACAGGAAACATAACAACAACAGTGGATACGTGAATTCAGAAGCAAGGAACACACCTCAGGCGTTCAGTCACTTCTCTTACGAAAACTCCAATCACGAGTTGTTGATCGTCGATATCCAGGGTGTAAACGACTTCTACACCGACCCCCAGATCCACACCAAGTCGGGATCGGGCTTTGGCGACGGCAATCTGGGCGAGACGGGCTTCCACAAGTTCCTGCAGAGCCACAAGTGCAACGCCGTCTGCGACTTTTTGAAGCTGCAGCAGATCAATCAGAGCAAGAAGACTCTGCTGCGTGGCACTCTACCCGTCGTGCAGCTCATGGAGTTCCACGAGGCCATCGGCATCAACCAGGCCGGTCAGCCCACCTCGGGCCCCTCCAAGAACTACGACATGGCCTACTTCCAATCGGGCGCGGGCACACCCGTCTCGCTCGACGATGAGGAGAAGCAGCTGCAGGAGCAGCTCGAGCGAATCCGTGCCGCTCAGGCCAAGTCCAAGCCCGCGCCACAGGCCGCTGTCAAGCAGCCCTCTGTCACCAACCTCCACAGTCTCAAGACGCCACCTGCCAAGCCCATGTCGCTGTCTCCTGGCAAACCACTACCTGGACAGTCGCCGATTACCTCGCCGTCGGCTACATCGCCACCCATCGCATCGTCCAAGCCAGCGGCCGCGGCGGTGTCGCCACCAATCAACAGCGTCGCCACAGCCAAGCCAGTGGCGGCAAATGTACAACAACCAGCGGCCGCAGCAGCGTCAGCCGCACAACCTGTAAAACCACAAGTACCTGTACAACAGCAACCTCAACAACCTCAGCAACCAGCAGCAGCACCAGCACAAACACCACAACCACAGCCACAACAGCAACCCATTTCAGTACAAGTGCGCGCAAGCCCACCAGCCCAGGCAGCATCGTCTACGGCCAGCGCACCACAGCAGCAGCAACAGGAGATCGTGCCCGACAAGTCGGCCACAGAGAAGTGGGACCTGAAGAGCACAAGGAACCTGGACACCATTCGTGGACTCCAATCAGAGTGCATTGTGGGCACTGAGACACGTCTCTACACGGGATCCAACGATGGAAATCTCGGCGTGTGGGACATTGACCAGCCCAAGCACCTCAACAATGTGAAGGCGCACGGCAAGTCGATCAGATCGGTGGCCATCTCGCCCAAGGGCACACTGTTCACTGGTGGTGCCGACTCTTACATCAAGGAGTGGGACCTCACTACAATGACCATGCTCAAGGAGATCAAGGAGGCCAACGAAGTCAACTCGATCTTCATCCAGGACAACCTGCTATTCAGTGGCTCCAACGATAAGACGGTGAAAATATGGGATCTCAGAAGCTATCAATGCATTCAGACTCTACAGGGCCACACGCGTGCCATCAAGGCCGTGTGCTCGCTTGGCAACCTGTTGTTCTCGGGCTCCAACGATCAACAGATCTTTGTGTGGAGCTTACAGACGAACCGCGTGCTGACCAACTTCCAGGGCCACGAAGGCTGGGTCAAGTCATTGTACGCACACAACAACACATTGTACAGTGGATCGCACGATGAGACGGTCAAGGTATGGGACCTCAAGACGACCAAGTGCACCAACACACTCAAGTGCAAGGATCGCGTGGAGACCGTGCACGTCACGAACCAAGGCATCTTTGCTGGCTCTGGCGACCATCTCCAGATATTCGACACAACCACTCACGAGAATCTGACATCGATCAACACACGTTCCAGCATCCTCTGTCTATGGAGAAAGAACCGTCAACTGTTCACTGGTTCCTTGGCATCCAATCTCAAGGTTTGGACATGGGACTAAAGTAGTGATTTATGAGAAGATCAGTCAGTCGATCAGTCAGTTCATTCATTCCAAATCTCCACTTTATAGCAACATCACACACACACACACTACACCTACACGCATGCTCATTCTCCCCTCTACCATCTGCTATTCACCTCCAGAACATCACCAACCAACAACAACAATATAAGATAAACTATCCGGATATGATAATCAAAGTGATTGAATATTTATTTATTTTATTTCAATTTGTAACTGTCAACAATTACCTTCACCCCCACCCCCCCCCCCTAATTTGATTACAACTGTGATTGATTATGTCTTGGTCAATCTACTACAACTTAAAAA